ATCAGTACATGCTGAGGAAGAGACTGAGTAACAAAGGGCTCCAGTTCACAGACCACTTGCAGATGGTGCTGTGCTCACTCACGTGGTGTTCACTGCTGCCAGAAGTTACTATCCAACAGCAGACATAAATGGAACAATACATGCATTTCTCTCTTTGGATTATAACACTGGGTTCAAGAAGCGTAACATAATGAGCCATACCTGAAACTGAAACAGTAAACTTCAGTACAGGAGTACAACAGAAAATTAAAGGTGGGGCTTTCTTCAGCTAAAGCTGTTAGCAACTGAAATGCAGCACTTTGAGTGCCCAGTAGAAAATGCAGATACCAAGAATCAGAAGAATGGCAGCACTCCATTCCAAAGCCATCACAACCCAGAGGCTACTGTGCTGGGAACAGACTAAGTATCACCATTTGTGCTGATAAAACTCTCTTCCATATCAAGAAATTAAAATTTATATGAATTTTTGGTCAAATCACAAGGCAGATGTTTCTCTGAAACACCAAAGAGCATTAATAAAACACATCAGTCAATGATCTTCATTCTTCAAAGACCTGCAGCAGCATCACAGAAAATCTATTTAAAAGGCACTTCTCTATTTATAACTTTCTTTAATCCTCCAGGTGATGTCTGCCTCAACAACAGAAGACATTTCTTCCAGAGACGTTCTATTGTCCCTGCTGCTTATTGTTTCTGTAGTATCAGAGAGCCTTTGTTACATTTCTTGCTGAGCTACTTATGCATTTGTGACAACAGGATTGTCTGCTGAGCATCATCCTCCTAGAACACCAAGACAGAATCATGTCCTGACAACACGGAATGCAGGAATGTTGCCAAACCGATTAACCAGCATTTCTCTGTTACAGCGGGTCCATCTTGGGCAGCAGAGGGAAATAACCAGTCACTAGAGTTCAGGAGATCATGCAGAGTGGCACAAGTCCTTACACCTTTCATCCTGCTTCTTCCAGCGGGGAGGAAGAAGGCCATCAGCAATCTCTCTCAAATCACTGCTGCTGAAAATGTCACCTCATGTTCCCCTCCCACCTCATAATGCTCTTTTTGAGGCTGTCCCAGCCATCGCCACAAGAACTAACTGGAACTTCTGGTGATGAAGAAGCAAAGATCTTGCAAATATTCCTATTAAGAAACAAGGGAAAAATGTGTATTTAAAATATTTCTGATAAAGTGTTCAGCATAATCAGAGATTTTTTTTTCCAGGTGGTCAAATGCCTCTGTTAGCTAAGACTGCAGTTTGTTTTGAAGACATAGAAAATATTTTTCCTGATGAAAGACAGAATAGCCCTGAAAACAGAAGCAATAGCTAAGCCATAAATGTACAGTGCAAGAAGCAGCTATAATGCAAGTCAGTTCAAACCATGTATGACCAACATCAAATATGATGTGGGGGGAAAAAAAACCCACAAAGCTTTTTTCTTATTTTGATTTCATTTAGCCCAGTACCACATTACTGGTCCTGCAGAGAGTATGCATCCTGTGTCCTCTGAGAGGATGGCAAATTCTATTAAAAAAGTATTCTCCTAATAGCCTCATGAAAGAATGATGATTTCAAAGCCTGTTGCTTCTAGCCTAAACCTCTGTTTAGGCCAATACTCTTAAAACTTCTTTTATTTAAGCTCCAAAATCTCCCTAAGTGAGTAAGGGAGACTGATTCAAGGAAAGGATTATGGAAATGCACTACTATTATTCAGAATATTCTTCCTACTATTCAACAGATTCTGATGACTTCCAAAATCCATACAATTATGAACTCACATCTCTATTCTTTACAATTACGGAATTAAATCTCTCTTTTCCTATAAATCAGTCCAGCACTATTGATTTTTAGAGGATGAGCCAGTAGTGTATTTATGATGTCTCCCCGTTCCTACCAAAAATCCTTAAATTTACTGCTCAGAGGTTAAGAAGCCTTTGTGAAGAACTCCCTGCATCCTCTCAGTAAATGGTTCCAGTGCCCATTTACAGGTTAAATACAATTTCTCTGCAAATTAAATTACACCAGTTCTAGAATTCAATCACAGGAACTCTGATTCTCCTCCTTCTTCATTTTTTAAGTTTCCATTAGAAAATAGACAAATTTTCCACCTCAGCTGCAGCTTTTGACTGAATTATCCTGTGTCCTTGCTGTTAAGATCAAAACATCTTTGTTAAGCCAAGGAAAAGGCATAGTTTCCTTTAACCATGGAACTCAACTCTTATTTTTTCAGAAGACTTTCTAACTTGCTAAGATTAGAATTGGACATAACCTTACAGAATGAAAAGGATTTTTTTTTTCAAAATCCCCTGAGATCACACATTTTAGTTGACCACCCACCTCAAATCCTGTTTAGAGTCACTACTTCATCACTTCATGATGCATTTCCCCCTCTAAAAGTAGGATGTTATTATTTTGTCCTGGATGTATGATACCTTTCCCTTTAGTCATATGGAAAAGTACACCATTGGTATGTGTTTATTTCCTTCTTATACACTCTTATGGTTAAGGGTTAAAGGTTAACTTTTGGCTAATATGCATAAGAAGCAGAGGCAGAAGTATTAAATAAGCTGCAAACAGAAGAGGCATTAAGCTGAGCTACAAGAGGAACAGATGAGAAAACCAGAGTGTCATCTTCCCTCCATCCCACACTGTATTGGGGCACTGATCCCTATGTGCTGGAAGAGTCAGCTAGGCTGATTAACATTATAATTTTCATCTTTCTGCTCTTACAGACAGTATTGACTCTACTCCAGGGATACACTGTGAATTAGACCACGAACGCTGCAGGCTACTGACAAACACATTAAAGTAAATGAACACTGATTTCTTTGAATCTGCTCCTGCATGTGAGTCACCACAGTCAATTATCCAAATCAAACGTATGAACAATAGGCAACAAAAATACTAATTCAGATTAAGTCATGCACAAAATCTGTCTGTGACACAGGAGAAAGACTTGATTTCCATTAGTGATGTTGTGGCATGATCACCAGAAAGAGGATTCAGGAGCAGTGCTGGTACAGGGAACATCCCCCACCAGCTCTGCTCAGCCCTTCAGGTGCGCTGGCGTAGCTTCGCGTGGCCCCAGAGCCGGGCAGAAGGGAAGGGCTGATCCCTACAGGTGACCAGCAAACAAATATTCTATCAGAGTATTCTTAATACATCTCAGGAGATAACTCGCCGCTGGGACAGAGCCGGGGCAGGGAGGTGACTGTGCTGCTTAAGGAGCGAGGAGACACATTCGGGTGAGGGAACGCCGAGACCTCACTAAAACCACGCCGCCCCTCCCGCCCCCGCCCTGCGCTCCCATCGCCGGCAGCCGGAGCGCCGCTTANAGCCCTGGGGCCGCGCCGCCTGCCCCCGCCCTCAGGACAGCAGAAATCGCGTGTCTTGGTGCCGCCGTTTCTCCTCTGTCCCCCAAGAACGCTCCAAGCTCTCAGGCCACTCCTTCCTCCTTATCTTGTTCCGAAGTCTTTCCTTTGCCTTTCCCCGCTTTGCTCCTGCCGCTTCCAGAGTTTCCAGTAAAATCCAGCTTGCTCCTGAGACCGAAATCGGACAGATAGGAACTTTGTAAGTTTTGAGTATTAGAAAGCAGTACGCTGGACACTTGAAATATCCTTTTTCTAATCGAGTGTGCCGAGCGTTGGGTAAACAGTTCTTATTACCCACACTGATTACACATTTATAAGCTATCCCCGCTTGCTTAATGTGTATATAATGTATGTGTGATGCTGTACTTTATATAGTTACATTCCTTATCGGAAGTCCTTATGTGGCCTTTTGGGGTCTCTGGTGGTCTTCAGTGGACAGTGTTGTAATATTTCAGATGGCCATTCCTTGAACCCAGCTCTGGAGTAAGCACAGCACTGTTGATTTCCGTGACTGTTGCTTTGGCAGCCTTGCAGATCTGAGCCGGCTTCCTGCTTGCCTACAGTTACATCCTGTAACTGCTTCTTCAAGGCTCTGTTCTGTTCTGCTGCCCTTCTACATCCCCTCCCTGTGCTCTCAACGGTCTGGTAATGCTGCTTGGCTGGCAGCAGTTGCTGTGTTTTATAGGGGTTTCTCAAAGCAAAACAGCAGGAAACAAGCACTGTTAGCTGGGAATGAGAACCTCAAGATTATCTGCAGACACCTATTCTGGAGATTTTGCTGGTAGCAGTAACAATTAGAAGTAATTAATCTAGAAAGGTTTTTTTTTTATTTTATGCAAGCCAGAAAATTATATGGTTACTCTCTGCTTAATAGAGTACAAGATTGAAATTTGCATTTCTTGTGCTTTAATCATCTCTTGGAAGAGTTTTAGTCAGGAATGATACGGGTTCAGTATCTCAAGGCAGCTGCCCAGAATTAGTGTTTCAGTGGTGTGGTACAAAGTTTAGTGCTGGTCACCTTTCTAATTGTGGAATATTACTCAAGACACAGTCTGGGCAGAAGAGGATCCTGATAATCATCTTAGCAGGACAGTTGGGTACTCTGCTTCCTGAGTGGAAGATTTTGGCTACTACTTGCTGTCTGCAAGTGTCTCTGTCTCTCACCTTTCTCTAGGTGGGGGGACTGTGTGTAAAAGAGATTGCAAAAGAGTTGAACATTAGTGTTTACTACTGCTGTATCTTAGTAGTAAGCTTGGAGTGGATTATGGTATAAAATGGAGAGAAAATGTGCTCAGGATTATTATTTTTTAAAAAATCAGAACAGCAACATGCTGATTTTTAATCTCAGAACTTCACTGTAATACTCTGCTTGTACAGTTGCTCTTCCTGACAGAAGAACTGTTTATTTCTTTTAGCAACCAGCACTTTCAACAGTGGGAGATGGCTGTGTTGATAGCTAGGAGATGATTTAATTTTGTTTTTTCCTCTCCTTGACACCTACCATTAAATAGGGTTGGACTATGAAACACACCCTGTCAGAAGAAATCAAAGGCGTTTAGGTTAAGAAAATGCCAAGATAAGCATTGCCAGGGGAGTTGTGTATACATCTAACGCTCCTATTCTTTTGTTTAAAGGAAAAATCTCAGGATTGCATGTATCTCCAATACTGTAAAGTGTGTCAGTCTTACAAGGCACCTCGTTCACACCACTGTCGGAAGTGCAACAGGTACTGTTTCTCTTTAAAATTGTTTGAAGTGCATATTTGAGATGGGTTCTTACCATAATTTTTTCTTCCAGCACTCACACTGTGCTTTTTTAAAAAGCTTCTATATGAATGCTATAGCCCTTTAAAGTATTTCCACTTTCTAGTTGTGTGATGTCTATACAGTTCTGCTGTGTTTTAGTTTAGAAAAATGACTGTCTTTAACATTTTCTTTATAGTTTGAAATCAGTTTCTCTTAAGAACTTTTTGATGGTACCAACAAAACAATGCAGTCCTGCTTCAGGGATGTGAGTTTGTGTAAATACCTAAAAATCATCTTAAATTGTTTTTATAGTCTAAACATTGACCTGCTTAAAGAGTAGAAATATCTATTCTGTCATCTTTCCAAGTGGGAATTAAATGTTGATTTGAGTAGAAATTTTGGATTTGTTGTTTTGCTCTTCACCAAAGTGGGTTTTTGAGGGGAGTTGGCATGTTTAGTGAAGTAATAAACCTTTTGGGTCAACTTAAAAGTTTGCACCTTGTTATCTTCCAACACACTCATCCTGATACAAAGGATACTTGATATCTAGTGATAGCTATTTATAAATAGCTATCACTAGAATTCAATGCATCTTGAAAAAATCAAGGCACTTCAGCTGTCTGTAGTCCAGGCAGGTTGTCCTCTGGAGGGCTCTTAGAATGTGGTGCAAGTATATTGCAACATATGCATTCATTTGTTATTTCTGTAAACCCAAGATGTGCAGTCAGTGGTATTTTAGGAAACAGAACCTGAAACTTCTGAGCAGTGCTGTAATTTGGCCACAGCATCCTCAGATTTAAAATTAACAACTCTTTTCCTTGAGTGACAATCTTTATGCTGAGGACTGGTAACTTAGGTAGTCGCATAGACTTTTACACCTGTCAAGGTAATTTGGAATGTGACCAAATCTTTAATCAGGTGGGATTTTTTTGCATCTGTAAGCTACGCCAAAATAACTGGATTTATATTGAATACAAGAGTGTCTCTAGAGTGCTTAGACTTATTAAATGTATTTTGAAAAGGATTTTCAATGGTGTGAGGTCAATAGATAGCAATTGAGAAAGCTTTCAGAGGGTTTACCACTAAAAAAACAAGTCACTATCACACTTCTCTCTGTGTGTCTTTCTTTAAATACTCTTTCTACAAGTAGTTCACAGGGAATTTGATGTTGCCTTTACTTTCCTGGTATACTGATTTTTGAAAACTGGCATTAACAGTAGTGCTTAATTATTGTGATCGTAGTTCTGACAAGTCCCATTCTATGTCTCTGTGTCCAGGCTCTGTACTATGGTGGTTATTAGCAACTAGTTAGTTTTAGTAAAGGGGAGGACAGATAACTAGGGAGGGTAGGACCTGGAAACACTTTTTATTTGTTTTTTTAAATTCTACAACATGGAAATATTATTCTGAATAGCAACTAAAAAGAAACTACTGTGTTGATATGTGAGAAAAAGAATGGAGGTTGAGAAGTAGAAAATCAGCCATCCTTCGAGTTTTTTGAGAAACCTCATACGTGTCATTTATATTAATCAATAATTATTATTCACAGATGTGTGATGAAGATGGATCACCACTGTCCTTGGATCAACAACTGTTGTGGATACCAGAATCATGCATCTTTCACTCTGTTTCTCCTCTTAGCTCCACTGGGATGCATTCACGCTTCTTTCATATTTATTATGACAATGTACACTCAGCTTTACAACAGAGTAAGAAAACATAACTAAATGCTTAACTAAATTATTATTTAAGTCAGATATATTGTTCATGCCTTGAAGTACAAGATAATTTAGTTTTCTGAGGAGAAACTGGAATTCCTTGCTATTCTTTCCACATGCACTCCTAAGTTCTGTGTGGCTGTAAGATGTATGTATGTGAATGGAGAAGGATTCAGGGAAAGTTGTTTCTATTTTAATTCTTTTTTTTTTTTTTTTTTTTTTTCCCTTCTCATAATCACAGGGACTTTCCTATTGCTTTACATTGACTGAAGACAGTTTCTGAGTGGCACTTTTTGTAGAGACAGGCTGTGTTTTGGCTGGCACAGAAAACAGCTGCTATTTATTTCCAACACACAAGTTAGATCCTATTTATTTTCTTTTATTGGCCACTTTTTTAGAATTGTGTCTATTTCTTCAAGGAAAAAAAAGTACATTAGTTTTGGGACTAAAAATAAATATGTTAGCTGTGGGTTTTTTAACTGAAAAACTTCAAAAGTGAGCAAAGCTTGTTCTGGAATACACCCCTTACCTCAGATGCATGGTTAAGATTTTAAGCTTTGATTTCATTCTCTGTGGTTGCAGTGAAGAGCCTGATAACATCACCTGAGTGTAACAGATGAAGTTGTATGTGTAGCAGCTGAGCTGTGTTTGCAGGTTGATAATGTTGAGAACTGCTGTCTGCAAAGCTTTCAGAGAAAAACCTGCATGATTCCCACAGAAAATGGGGACTGTTCTATGCAAACGTTGTCCATCTGACACTGATGAATGTGTTTTCGCACACAACGGAGTCCAGATCTTTTTGCTGATTTTTGGGCCTGTGGCGCTTGCAAGGTGATGATTGTGATTTCATTTTCCACCTAGCAACAAACTTCTGAAGATAAAAGTCTTTTGAATATAATTTTTTTAGTTACTCTGCTTGCATTATAAGCCCATCAGATGTTGGACACTTACTTTCAGAGACAAATTTCTTATAGATAACTTGCTTTGTTTCAGCAGGTGGAAAGTTCTAGAGCTAAATGGAATTTTTCTCTTTGCAGATATCTTTTGGGTGGAGTTCTGTGAAGATTGACATGAGTGCAGCCAAAAGAGACCCTCGTCCCATTATTCCCTTTGGACTGTCTGCATTTGCTGCATCTTTATTTGCCTTAGGACTGGCATTAGGAACAACTATTGCTGTTGGTATGCTGTTTATTATCCAGGTGAGTATGGTTCTGTTACAAAGAAGTTAAAAGCTGTAAGTTTTGTATGCTTGTGGAGCAGAAACAGAATTTGGGATTGAGATAAAAACAGTTGTTCAGAGCTTACATTGTTGTATAACTTTTCCAGGGATTTATGTAGCTTTGTCCCAGTTTTTCTGTTACCACAGTTTTGTTTTGTTTTTTTCCCATGGAAGACTTGGATGTGAAAATCTAATGAACTGAGAAAACATGAGATGGATTTTATAAACTCCCTGAAAAAGGCAAAATATTTGCCCTATCCCTGAAAATAGGTGTAAATATGCCTGATGTATGTCTTAAAATGTTGGAGATCTTTGGAAGTAAACAAAAAGATATATTTTGAGCGTAAAGTTCAATATTGTGTGATACTGTCTTAAGTGTATAATTCTAGAGCGTGTATATATGCTGAGGGTTAGCTTCTAACAAATGTTCAGTTAACTGTATAACAGTTGTTTTGTTCTTCAAAACAATTTTAGTTTGCTGAATGAAGCTTTCTTTGTGTAGCTGATGTATTCCTGCAGAAAATAAGTCTTAATTTCACCTAACACTTTTATTTCAGATGAAAGTAATTTTGACAAATAAAACTTCAATCGAATCCTGGATTGAAGAAAAGGTATGCTTTTATTACAGTATTCTTGTAATGTTACAAAGTCTATATTTATACATCCATATTTATAATTACTTATTGTTTCACCTCTGGGTTAAAACCAAAGATGTTATTTCAATTCACCACTGATCTAACACCTACAACAAGCTTTACCCTTACCATCTTTGAAATTCACTGAAAGAAATGAGAAATCATGTAAATGCATAACTTATCTTTTGTTTCGGAGGACTTTGTTGAACACAGAATATTTGCTTTGAAAAGACTCACTTATCTACTTGAAATATGTGGGTGTTTTTATCTGAAACCTGAGCTTTGTCATTACACATTCTGGTACCTTTCATTGTCCATCTCGCTGACCAAGATACCATTCAAAGTGGCATCTTTTGACTCACGATTTTCCCCATTTCTTACTTTAGACTGTAAGGGAAGATTTTCCTTGATTTGGGAAGATTTTTCTTGATTTTAAAGAAGTGCTAGAAAATACCTAGTCTTCTGTCCTTAAAATTTCTCTTGAATTTCCTTATCTTTATAGAGGTTTTCACAAGATTTTTCAGGAGAAATATAGTCAAACAACAGAAGCTAGGTTTAGAGGAAGGAAAACTGATTCAGTATTTAGAAATTAGTTTGGTTCTACCAGGATTTTTTTTTTTTGTGTAAGTCCACAAACATTTCATTAATGTCTTATTGTCTTTCTTTTATTTTGTGTGCCAAATTAGCATGAGAATCTTGATTGTGTATAAGTACTTAAAGTATTGTAATATCAGCTCTTTTCATGGGATATGGCTGGATCCAAGTCCTGTTAGACCTTTGAATAATGGGATAATGGAACATAAGTGAAAGAAATCCCTGTTATCACTATATTGTAGAATTTGGAATAATATGTTAAAATTTTTACTGTAAAACACAGGCTGCTAATATGTCCCTTTTGAAAGCTGAACACAGACTGTAATACTTAATTATTTAATAGAATGGCATTATTGCAACAAAGAGAACACCACTCTGTGGCTGCTCCACTAGATGTCATCATAACTGTGAGAATGTCAAGCTCGTGACTACAGAATGTGGGTGATTCAGATCATGCCTGTGTGTGCATTCTTAGTGGAGGAATTGGCACTACCAATGTTGAGTCATGTTTGTGTTCATTAATCAAAGGATTCTGAGCTGTGGAAGCTCTTGGATGTGACTGAGAAATAGTCAGACATTGGTCCCTAAAAAAAAGCAGTAAAGTAATATCGGAGTGTGGAAGGAAGTATCAGTGTAGTCAGGGGACTGTTGTTAAAGAGTAAATGGGGAGTGACTGGGGTGGGGACACCCCAACCAGACATCCTTCTGAATGCCATGATTTAAGTAGTTTTTAATGCCTGGGTTGATATAGCAGGAGTTCACTGTTCTTGCCTGAAAATACTTGCCTTTAGGCCCCATAGATCCATACAGGGCTTATGATTTGGCCTTCGTAATATTTGCTGCTTGACTGCACTTTGTAGGGTGATTTTATGTTCTGCATTTCTTAAATTATTTCCTAGGCCAAAGACAGAATCCAGTACTACCAAACGGGTGAGACCTTTATCTTCCCCTATGATATGGGAAGTAAATGGAAGAACTTCAGGCAAGTGTTTACATGGTCTGGGATTCCTGAGGGAGATGGCCTGGACTGGCCAGTTAGAGATGGATGTCACCAATACAGTTTGACGGTAACTGGTCTTCAATGGTATCTCAAGTTGATTCTCCCCACTATCCAACTGTGTGCTTTCCTTTGTAATAATAGACCAGCCTTTTTAATAACTAAAATAGATGGGCTTGAAATGTACATGTACATGAGTTCTGTTAAATGTTGTCCCATTTTTGATGCACTAGAAAGTTACGCTTTTGTGAGTGTTTCAAACTGCTAATGGTATTTCCTGTGTTTGTTGAATGATTTCAATACCTGGTTTCATTTTGTGTTGAATGCTGACTAAATTTCTATTTTTAATCATTTATAGATAGAGCAACTGAAACAGAAAGCAGACAAGCGAGTAAGAAGTGTAAGTATTTGTGAAGTTTGGTCTAAAATTATTTTGAAATAGCAGTATAAATAAATGTAATTAATCAACACAAACAGTGTATAGCATTCTCTGCTAAATTAATGTTGGCATTTAGCCTTTGCATTTGCTTCTTAGTTTCCAGATGGGAAGAAACGTGATCATAAAAGAGGATTGTGCTTTATGGTTAAGCATTAATTTAGAATTCTGAGTCCCTTTGACAGCCACTGTCATTACTTTAAATCTCGTGGTATGCTTGAATTGATTTTTTAGTATGAAATTTATCAGTAAGGCCATAATTCCTTCAAATAAATTGCTGTGTTCTGTTCCAATCCGCAGGTGCGGTATCGAGCCATAGAAGATTACAGTGGTGTCTGCTGCCCTGTGACTAAAGGTGTTAAAACATTCTTCACAACACCGTGCACCGAAGAACCTAGAATTGCACTGAGTAAAGGGGATCTGATTTTAGCCACCAGAGGCTTAAAGTTAGTGGCTCCACACCTTTATATTTGGTTAAAAGAAATACTGAGTTGTGTTCTGGCATCTAATTACCTGTTATGCTTCCTTCCCCAGACACTGGATGTATGGTGAGAAGATTCTCATCTCAGATGGTGATGGTATGGAGCAGTTAATTTCATTTTTTTCTGTTGAAAGTTGCAAATCAGTTTTATACCTATCTAGAAATGTGGCCAATATTATGTTCACTTCTCAAAAGGTAGAATGATAACATTATTGGCACTAGCTTCTCTCGACTCTCCAGTTTTTATTCTTTACATCTAATAGGCTTCCCAGTTTTGATAAACATTAACTGTCAGACTGACAGAACACTCTTTTAGTAGTTTATTGAAAGTTGAGTGGGAAGGGAAGCACTTCATATTCTAAGAAAAAGTTAGACTTTTAGTCTATAAAGAGGTTAAGGATGATTCATTTTTTTGATATTTAAATGGTGGTCTGTCTTAAATTCATCCATGCTTCCTACCTATACAGCCCATATAAGTATAGGGATTAATCTTTGTGTATCTTGAAAACTTGGAGACATTACGTCTTTGGTTTGGAATTTCTAGAGACTTTAATATGCATTTATAAAACTAGCTGTGGGTGTTGAGTATAGTAAAGACTCCTGATGATCTGCAGAGAGTATCACAACCACCTGCGTTGAAGCTTTTACATTTTTCACTTCAGACCTCTTGCTGTGGACTGAACTAAAATTTTACCTGCCAGAGGTGTGTTGGATTCTGTTGTTTGTTCCAAACAATTGTTAATTCATTGGATGTGCATTTCATATTTGCACAAGTGGGGCTGCTAGAAGTCACTACACTGAAAAAGTCCTTGCTTTTCATTGGAGGTCTGAAACCTTTATGGGCTGGAAGTGCCCTGGCAGCTGACTGCAATAAAACATCAGATACAGATGAACATGGCAATAGTTTGTATTGCATTGCTTATTGTGAAGTTTAGCAGGATATATCTACTCTATTGAATGTTGGGTTTTCTGAATCAGCTAAAATGTGGTGTGGATGGAGAACTTGGTGAAACTGAGAGGCTGGATCAGACTAGACTTCAAAAGTAGAATGAGTTCTGTTAGGAATATATGGAAAAATGCTAGAAATAAGCAGGAATAAAAAGTTGTAGTACAGCAAGATGGCAGAGTGAATGATTAAGTAGCAGTTCTTCTGTGGAAAAAAACTCAATGATAATCTTAAGATGAGTCAACACTTTGGGAAAGAACAGGCATACAGCTTCCCAGATGCTGAAGTAAACCTTCCATCCTCCTCAGCATTGGCAGAGACTGCTGAAATAGTCCTACATGTAAAAGCAGTTACTGCATCTCAAGAAAGATCTACTGTAAAGGGTTGAGAGGAAAACAAAGAAAAATGAGAATAATTAGAATAATAGCAAATGTGACTTTATAAGAAAAAGCCAAAAGAATTGGGATAGTTTACCTGGGAGGAGAGCAGTAGGAAATGGAGTTAGCCTGGGTATGTGTAAATAGTCATCAGCTGTGTGAAAGTCTATGTAGACAAGCTTGTTACCTGCTTCCTGTGCCCCTGGTTGTAGAAAAAGGAGCTGTAAACCTGATTTATAGATAGAAAGATTCAGATAGGGTATAAAGATGAATTTTCTCAAGGAAGGTAGAGCACTGCAAAACTTTGGAGATGTCTGAAAACATTTTAGGTAGTTGGAGAAAATCTGTGCATCCCTAGGCAATGATGTTAGAAATTACTTAGATGTTCTGTCTTGTAGAAGAAAATAACTTGGGTAAGTGCTTGATGTCTCTTCCAGTCCTGTGTTTTTCCTCAGTAGTGGGCCATGTTTTGTTCTAAGTTAATGCAACTTTTCATGTCTTAAGGTGGAATAAGAGAACGAGGCTGGTTCCCTAGGAAGTGTGTGGAAAAATACCAGTATGACTCTGAAACGGATCAACCAGTGGATGGAGAGAAGAAAAGCAAATAGCCTTCTAATTTTTTTAAATATTAAATGGAATTTTTACTTCAGATCACAATCCTTTACTTGAAATTTTCTGTATATTACTTTAGACTTATGCAATGAATATGTTAGGATGAGGTTTTCTTTTCCTCATAGCTGAAAGGGTTGTATATGCCTGTGCCATGGTTTGCATACTTTTTAAACAATAAATAATTGAAGAAGACATTCTGTGGATTGCCTTCTAGATGCATCTTTTTCATCACAAGTCAGAATTGTTTCTGTTTAAATTGCATTCTGAGCATTAAGATTTTAGGTTTTTTTTCCTCAGCCGCATCTGATCGTTATGCGTGCTGCTTATCTTTTGTATTTCTCTGGAGCTGCCCCTGAAAATAAACACCCAATTCAAATTCCAGATTAAATTTGTTACCTGTGACTTTTAATGATGTGAATTGTCCACCTCAAATAAATGATACATTCATACTTACTTGTGGGTTCAATTGTTCTTAGACCTAGAAGAACTAGTTTATAGGCATGGGAGTGTGAACTGACTGGGAAGCAAAGATCTAGCCTTGTAAGTTGTTTTTCAAGGTTAAAAAGGCTTCAGTTGTTGCAATAACAAATAAAACCACTATTTTGTGGTTTTAATGGCAAAAATTACATCCAGCAGTGTCTGTTCCTCTGAGCCAGTACCCAAGAGATCTCAATCCATTTTAGAGTGAAAGGGAGCAGGATCCAAGAATTATTAACAGCTTTCTTAAAGCATTTTCATTTAGCATCTAGTATGGATTGTTAGAAGGAAGACCTTAAATTGAAGTACCTTGTACCAGCTCAAGGCTTTTTAAATGTCTCCAAAATGCAGCATGTGCTTTTGTTCTCTCATAGTTTAGAGTTGTCAGCCAGGTTGAGAGTTTTTAAAAATCAGTTCATGGGGCAGAAGTGGCACACAGACCAATATAAGACCAATTTGTACTTGAATTGCTATATGGTTTTATTGTTGAGGCAGTGCCATTCACCCTCCAAAGACATCTGTGCAGAGAAGCGTCTCTGTTTATTGTAGCAACAAAAATACATTCCAGGTACTGCAGCTGGTGGCATCACAGGATTCAGCCTCGAGTTTCTGCAGATCTCAGTTGCACTGGATTTACTTTTCCTAACTAACTTACTCATTTTTGTGTCCAAAACCAGTTCTGGGATACATTTCTTCCCTGTTTTGTTTTTTTTTTCCCTACCCAGTCTCACCTGGGGAAAATGATATCAAGCCACCACTGACTTCCATGTCACGTTGTAAGGAAAGCATAGGAAAAATAAGCAACATCTTTGCATGCAGTTTCAGAGACTTAGAAGCCTTTATAGCCTCACATTTCTGACAAGCACAGTAAGTGCCAATGGTTACCTGAAGATGTCAAGGTCTTTGGGCCCAGACTAGAAACAAAATTGGGCCAGTTGTTTTTTACTAGTCAAAGCTAGAGCTGCCTAACAGCAAGGGGGGAATCTTTTGATAAATCTTGCTTTCATTTTGGGATAGCTGACCAAGAGCATTAGGAGGGAGAGGAAAAGCCACTAGCTGTCTGAACAAGACAGGGAAGACAATTCCGCAGACAGAATTGGTCTAGGAAAGCCACGTATACATCTTCCCCATGTTGCATCCTTTTGAGCTGCTAGAGCTGACTTTTGAAGGGACAGGGAGGAGCTCAGCAGAAACAGCACAGACTGATGGAAGTCGTAAGAAAGTTCTCATCTTGGTTAAATCATTTTCTAAAGCAGCAGCTTAACACAAGAAAATCTCACATCTCGTGTGGTAAATTCATTGTTTCAGCTCAGCCTAAGCTGAAGACAAGGAAAAGAAAGTTGGGTAGAAGAGCACCTGGACTACAGGAGCAAATCTGGACTACACCATCTTACTGCCTCCTGGATGGAGCTGTGGCTGACCAGTGACAGCATAGGCAACAAGTTCATGTTCTGCAGCAGTTGTGTTCTAGCTGCACCCATACAGAGCCTGGCAGCTGACAATGTGGTTACAGCATAGCCACAAGTAATTCATACAGGCTGTAGTTTGATTTTGTAGTCTCAATTTATTGTATCCTGTATCCTTAGGATTGACAGCTAAAGTTTTACACTTATTAGCGTCAAATTCATAAGTGTAAAGGCTTTAACACTGCCATTTCATTTGAAAATGTGCAAAAACTGATCCAGTGCCTCCTAAAGGATAAACTGTTTGCTGTAGACATTTGTATTTTGCAAACCAGCTGATACCAGATTACTCGTTTTCATTATAAACAACTTGTACCATGTGGTCCAGGACTAGGATCAGGAAATTCACTTCTGTGTTTGCTAAACAGATGTTAGCATGAATTCATACTGAGTTCAGTCTGATTGCAGATCAATCCACAACAGGTCACAGCAGAGTTCATAGTTTCAGCAGGAAAATAAGATTTGGTTTTGACAGTCAGAAGTGCATAGTCTTTTAAAGGCTGAGGTTCTTGCATGTTTTTGCATTTCAGTCATAGTCCAAGCAAGATGCAAGTTCTGGCTTTGAAGTTGAAGCTCAGTCCCACACGATGTTAACACTGCTGGTTGTTAGTTACAGGACAGCCATCTTCATCCACAAGTCATTTTTCTCAGGTACTAGAAACAAATACATTTAAGTTCCTGTTCCCCTCCACTCAAGCCTGTTTTCACCATAGGCCATGTAGTATCACAGATTTAGCTTCTCCATGCAGTCTAAATGAAACTGGCCATTTATTCCTGAGTAGATGAATAGAGGGCCTCAATCTCCTTCTGGAAGTATTTAACAAGGTCTCCTCGCTTTGCCTTCAGTGTTGGCGTCAAGAGACCATTTTCTACAGAGAACAGCTCTGTGTGGATGTACAGGTCTTTAACCTATTAAAAGAAAACAATTTAGTGCATGATGCATAATTAGAAGACAAACAACAGTTCTTCCCAGCTTCCTTAGGCAAGAATTCAGTCCCAGGAGATCCAGTAACTAAATTTTTTTTGGCTGACCGCATCAAGAGGGTGAATTCCACAACAGCCCCTAAAGGTTATTTTGGACCTCCACTTGATCTCTTGGCAATTGTTACTGTTGCCCTTCACAACCCCTGGTCTCTTGGTGCAGAGACAGGCGGGCAATGTTTCACTGGCTGCTTCAATCTGGTGTCTGGGGCAGCTGCCTCAGGGTCCCCCCTGGCACAGCAGTAGCAGGAATGAAGACTTCCCAGCCACTGTGTTAGCAATACAGGTGCTAGTGACAGACAGGATTTGAAAGCACTCACTTGTTCAAAGGATTTAAGGCCAGCCTCTCTCCCCAGTCTGATCATATCGTCTAAAATAGCTTTCTTCACTGCCTAGAAGAAACACAGCAGAAGCAGAGTGGGTAAAGCTGTCATTCTGTAATTGCAGCTCAAAACCATAACCATTTGCCCAGTCAGGGAGAACTGAGGATGGCAAGAATACAGATTTCAACATTCAAGATTTCTCATATTAAGGCCATCATAAAGACATGTTTATCTTCTCACTGGTAAAGAAGCAGCAATAGCCCTTGAGACAAAAAACACCTATACTCAGTTCCAGTTGTTGCTGTAAGGCTGCTTGCATGACTCACCCAGCATTAAGCCAGTTCAAATTACTGAAAAGAGGTGGATGGAACAAAGAGCAATGTAGGAGTGGACTTGGAATTAAATACTGTCTCTAACCCACTAAACAAAGCCACTCACAGGGTTTTTGCAGAGCTCTTCAAAGGAACCTTTTACTCCCAGTTTTGCTGCAAATTCTGGAAGCATCTCAGCATCAGGAACCACTATACCTATTAGAAAAGACTGAAAACAAGTAGAAATAGTCAGGCTGAGATGAAGATAAGGCATACTAAATGTCTTTGTGAGCTTGCTTGTGGGCAGTGTTTCTATGACGAGTTTCTATGTACAAGACATGTACATCTCCATGACTGGCCTCTGCTAGCATAGGTAACACCTCAGTGGCAAAGGAATGGGGAAACACTTCTGTTGTGCAGAAAGGCTGAGAAAATTTGGGTTATTCAGCCTGGAAAAGGCTCCAGGAAGACTTTTTTGTGGCCTTTCAAAACTAAAAAGGTGCTTGGAAGAAAGCTAGGGACAAATTTTTAGTAGAGCTTGTGGCAATAAGATAAGAGGTAATGGTTTTAAACTATAAGATAGTAAATTTATATTAAATACTGGGAATTTTTTGTAAGTGTGAGGATGCTGAAAGAATGGCAGAGGTTGCCCAGAGAGCTGGCAAATGCCCCATCCCTAGAAATATTCAGTGTCAGGCTGAATGGGGTTCTGAACAACCTAATCCAGTTGAAGATGTCCCTGCTTATTGCAGGGGCAACTATTCTGTGAATCTAAACTGCACAGAGCTGACCTGATGTACTAATCCCACACAAGCATGTAATTAGCCTTTACCCAGCTTGCAACAATGCCAGTTGTCACTCGGGAAGTCTATAGGTCTGAGAACATCTTCCTATAAACACAGCTCTCTTAGGAACAGATTTTGTTCAAGGACTCTTGTACATGCATACATTTGTGCCCTGATCACCCAGAACTTGTTGTGGGAGAAAGTCTTGCAGGATACTCACTCCTAACATCACTTACCCTCAGACTTTCCCCATGTACGAAGACCTGGGCTACAGGAGCACTTTCAATATAGACATTTTCTATCTTCTCTGGAGCAATGTATTCTCCTTGTGCAAGTTTAAATATATTCTTCTTCCTATCAATGATCTTCAGTGTTCCATTCTAGAAGTTAAAAGTGGAGGTCAGTAGTTTGAGTCACTGTCTTGCTTATATAAGAGAAGATAAACAGGCGTTGTTTTGTTTTATGAAAGACACATCTAGAACTAGTCTAGCAACCATATACTGGTCTTTGGTTTCTACAGACAGAAGGGTTTGTCTAATTTCTCCAGTTACTTCAGGACATGATTAGACAGCTCTTTTATTCTCCTCTGACAGAAACCGAGACACCATGTTATATCAGTTCTACACTAAAGAATAGTCTTAACTATGGGCCTAGCAGGTGTTATTTGATATCTTGTAACCTAATTGGTATTTGGAGCTTTGCCTGGAGTTACCTAGTGAATTTACTGCGTAGAGATCTTTATCCTAGAATTCCACCTTCAGAGATTACTGTGAAATAACAGGAGTTCACATGCAAGAGATGATTTGTATTAAGCAGCTACTCACTGGCAACCATTTCCCTATGTCTCCAGTGTGGAGCCAGCCATCTTTATCAATTGCTTCTGCTGTCTTCTCAGGGTCTTTCAGATAACCCTTGAACACATTTGGTCCTTTAATGCAGACCTATTGCAAGTAGACAACACTGTTAGTCACCAAGTCTTATGTTTCAGTATTTCCTGACATTCACAGGAGATGGTACCTACCTCGCCTTCATTGTTAGAAGAGAAGTAGCTCATTTCTTCCACATCATCTAGTTTTATGATATTACAAGCCAGAGGGGCTCCAACATGGCCTAAGAGAAAAAAAAACCAACAAGACAAAACAAAAAACCAATTAAAAAAAGGCTGTAGTGATAGTAGATACTGGGTTTGTTCACTGCTTTAACAAGAATCAGTATTGTTTAAAGGAGTCTGGCATCAAATCAAAATCAAGCAAGTTGTTGCAATGCCATTTTCAGACAGTTAATGTAGGACAAATATCAGGTAAGTCTCGATGCTTAGAGCATTATTGGTGTAATCAACCACACCAGCCATGAACCACTAATGCCTCCTCAGGAGCCCTCTCATAGATCCTGGTATTCATTTGCATTTCATCCTCATTATGCTCTGCAGTTACTGTGTTGACAAAGATGGTGACTTGAGTCTGAATTTACAATCTAGTGCTGCTAAGATAAAAGTTAAATCTTCAAGATCCTTCAGGAAAATAGTCAAATATCATGTCTAATATTTTGAGTAAAACATGTCATTATCACTTTGAGTACCCATGATTTAATTTTCATTAAACTAAAAGCATTAGGAGCACCTAGGTTTGAGTATGCTTTTAAGTGGACATCTCTGGGAGACTTCACAAGTCTCAGCTCCCATACCTGTTGTCCAGTCTCCAGGCATTGAGAAAGTGGATCCAGCTGAGCATTCAGTCTGGCCATAACCTTCAAAGATCTGTGCAAGAAAGGATGAGTATTCCTTGAACATCAAGTCCTTGCTGTGAAAGGCCTGTTTCAACTGTGCCCATGCTCAAGCCTTCTTAGGAAGGAAGCCAAAACAACCTTTGCCTTTAGGATATCTTGATCTTATTGGTGTAACCAGATGTTAAAGTTCACCTATCCAAACTTTGCTTTGGTCACCTCATTTTCTGTTCTCAAATGTGCTACACAGGGAGCTCATTGATTGTCAGAATAAGCCACAGAACTCAGTGGCTTTGAGTGCTGCATGTTCCTATTTCTGCTACTGTCTTCTCAGAGCCTACAGCATAGATTTTTGGTGGTGTAGTTTGAAGTGGGCCCTGCAGAAATTTTTTTCCTGTTACGGTTAACTCACATGAAGCATTCTATAAATGCCCAAGACTGAAAGCATTTTCCCCAGGAAAAAGCTGAGCTGGACCCCAGCTGTATCACTGGTCACTCATTTGTGCATAGTCAAACAGGGCTTACTTTAAAAGAAAGCTTACCTGACAGCCTAATGCTGCTCTAAGAAATGTCAGGACAGAGGGAGATATAGGGGCTGCACCTGTCACCATGATACGCACTCTTCCACCCATGTTTTCCTGCAAGAGAAAAAGAAGCCATCAGATCCTCCAATATTACATCCCATAGCTCCCTCACACTTGGAATAAATGACTTACCTGAACTTTTTTGAAGACAACCTTGTCCCAAATGCTGTCATTTCGAATGATGCCCTGTTTTATTTCAGCCATCTTCATAAACACAGCAAATTTTAACAGGAATTGCTTTACTGGGGTGTTTGCACCACTCTGGATCTACAAGGAAAAGCACCGGTGACTCTTGGGTTTGACTCACATCTGTACATCTCATTCTTGCCTTGTTGAAAGGCACCAAATCTTACTTCAATGTTCTAGAGTCTGTCTTCACCACTGCAGTGTCTAGAAGGTGACCCAAAAGACAATACTAATTTGTGTTACTGCTGAAACACTACAGCCATAGCTTTGAAGAACAGGGATCCTGTTAGCCTTGCATTTGATTCATTTGCATTACAAAAGTACACAAAGCTTTTTGTCTCATAACAGCAACAAACTTAGCCCAGTCATGACTGGAAACACTGTCCTTACACTCCTAGAACTCCTTCCATCTCCTCAGAAAGGATTCTAAAAAATTCTTCCTGCTAAGGAGTAATTAACTAGTGGTGATGTTATGACATATTCAATATTATTTTGTATTTGTATGCTTGCTTGGATAGCTAAAATTGTTCACGTACCTTGTCATATATTCTATTGAGCAGTCTTGGTACAACTGGAAATAGCGTTGGCTTCAAGGTTTTCATGTCATCTGTTAGCAGCCTGATATCTCCTTGGAAGAAGCCTACTTTTGCTCCACAGCTGTATATGACGGTCTAAAAATTGACCAGACCAACCTTAGTCAAGAATAATTCCTAGCTTCACTAACCCTAATTATTAGTCTGTGAAAAGCAGCATAATTTCCAATGCCCAGTTAATATGTGAATAGGTTTTGAGGACATACAGATTCCTAATATATCTTTTACTATAATTCAATTTATAAAAGCTCAGCTATATATGTATATATGTACACATACCTGTACAACTCTCTCAAACATGTGAGCCAAAGGAAGATAGGAAATGGCAACATCTGAACTTGAACACTCAACTGTGTTCTAGAGGGAAAAGAAGTAGATTAGCATTTTCTATGCCTGCTTGAGTTACTTTTAAGTAGAAAGTAAATCAAATTTGGATCAATTTGAGTACTTTGAGACAGACACTTCCAATGAATGAAGCAACTCAGGCTCAGGCTCATCCATCACCTCCTCAAGATTTGCAGCTGTCAGTCAGCCACACTAAATCAAAATCAGTTTTATGTTTTGGCAAGACTTGACATAGATGGTTTAGTACTCTTGATATTTAGGACTGACTCATTCTAGAATAACTTCTATGTAGAAGTCCTTGTTCAATTCAAACCAAGTTTCTTGCAGTAGTATTGTCTCATTGAAAAGGGGCACTAGGAAAGCATCAGTTTCTGGGAGTGAATGGTTTACAGAAAATGCCCACATTAAAGCTGGTTTCATGACTGAGGGACATCTGCAGAGCAGCTTACCTCTGTGCATCTGAGGAAGGCAGCAGCATTTGAAACAACATTCTGATGTGTCAGCATGGCTCCTTTAGGGTTACCTTTGGAGAAATCAAACAAGGTGAACTGTGACTCTGATTGCTTCTGCTGGCAGTTTCCCATGTCTTGTTTGGCTCAGTTTGAGCTATCTCAGTACCGGTCTCAGTCCCAGCAGTCGTAAGAGATCACAAATATGCCCCATCTGGAGTGCTTTCAGTTATGGATATTACATAAAGGAGATAACTACTGAAACAGCAGAACAATTGGGAGTAGCATAGAGAATGCTGAAACAAGATTTTTGTTTTAGCCCCTGTGGGTCAAAATACGCAGTTGAACAACCAATCTCTTGATCATTAAGGCTGCATTTTCCATAGGGTAAGACAACATGAATTTGGCTTTTCTTGCCCCCAGTTCTAAGAAGCTTTATTGTAGTGCACTTTTAGTGACAGTATCCCAAGTAAAACTACAAGAGCAGTTTGGCATTGCTCTAATTCACTGGTTTACTTCCATATTCTTGGGAGTTTTTTAGTTTTGGGCAGGGAAGCTGCATAGGGAGGCTCTTTCAGTGGGGAAGCATCACTACAAATTCTTACCTGTGGTTCCACTTGTAAAACACACAACAGAAAGGTCTTCAGGCTTAGGAGGCTAGAGAGAAAAAGCCACATAAAGTCAGTGTGAGGATTATGATGGTTATCTGACAGTACTTAAATTCCTAAATGTGATGAATCAGGAATTCTGGTTCACAAAAAAATCTGCCAGCCTCCTCTACTAGCAGCATAGCAAGAGGTCTTTCCAGAGACTAGTTTTACAAGTCTATAGCTGTTTCACAGAGATACTTACAACTGGTTCTCTGATGTTGTTTCTTCCCAGCTCCTGTGTTAGAGAAAAAACACAGTTTAACAGAATATGTGCACAATAGGTGAATAGATAATTGCATTTCAAATGCAACACCTGTTTTACTACTTTGCCTCTTGATAGTCTTGTCTCATTCAAGCAGAAATCTCTTCCTGAATCCAATACACATAACTCTGAAAAACTGTCTGCTGCAAGTGTGGAGAGGAGACATTTGAATGTGTGGAAAGTGATCAGAACTACTTAAGGAATTTGGAAGTCCTGAATGGAGAGGTTTCCTTTTATTTGACATAGGCCACATCCCTTTACACATATTCAAGCTTAAACCTAGTATTGGGATGTCTAAGCAGCCAGTAATTTGCACTTACAGTTCCAATTAGACTCAACTGCCAGTTTAGAAGCCTGATAAATCCTGTTACAACAGTATCACAAATTAAGCTAAGCAAGTCTTGGCTGTTCACAGCACATGGGCACAGCTTTAATCACGGGTTTGAACTCTGACACTCTGTTTAGCTAAAGATATCAAGTTTCAAAATGACTGCTCATCAAGATGTCAGGTACAGGCATGGCAACTGGGTAATGGTTACATTAAAGTGTCATTGCTGTCGCAGAAGATCAAGATATTTAGCTAGTAAAGTATTACAGAAGCCTTTAGCCACATACCTCAACTTCCTGCAGTGACAGAATTTCAATCCCCACTTTAGCTCCTCTGTCCTTGAGCTCTTTATCAAAGAGATCCATGAGAACAATAATCTTCAGACATGGGGTCTTTTTTTCCTCACAGTTCTTAAGCAAGACCTCTGCCTTCGCAGGCGTGTCACAGATCAGTTTACAGTGCTGAGAATGTTCTTCCTACCATACTCAACTGATTGGGCAAACCTGACATTCTGGCAAGATAAAGTGAGGGCAAATGCTGAGGAGCTGAAGAGAAATATCTTCACTCACAGTAAAGATGGGCATTGAAACTTTTGGTAATGCCATGATACTGTTTAGGTTTAGCCATCTTCCTAAAATCTAAAGAAATTAAGGCCCAATTGAAAGAGGCAGCTAAAGTTCTTGGGTTAATACTTCAGCTTCCCTGCAGATGCAGTTATAAAAGCCTTTTCCTTTAAATCAGCAGGGGAACTGGATTTGCCTGAGCCTGCCAGTTCCAGTTAGACTGATAAATCACAGCTGTGTGATCCCAAGACAAGACCTGTTTCCAAGGTTTACCACCATAACTGTTGAAGTGATTTTGCTTGGCAAATAATGTTTATGGGATGGATCCCAGATCACTGTAACAACAGTGGATATTTATTTCCCTCATAACTCTCCTAAGACTGGGGGAAGAAATAAATCTGAAGATTTATTTAACTTCCTTGCCAATTTCTTCCATGATGGCCTGCTAGATGTTGTAGAACATGCAATAACCAGTAAACTGATTTAGGCATATCTTTACCCTTCCCTCCTCCACTCTTTTCATCCTACAACTTTAAATCAGACACGCACATCTAGTCTTAATTTACATGCAAGTCTGTCTGCATTGTCTGATTGTTTGGCAGTGTGGGAGTTCAAGATTGCAAAATCTCAAATAACAAATAGTTGAGCACTCTGATTGCAGAATGGTCCACAAGATCTAGCAGATCCTTCAGTGGTCTTGCAATCAAGACACTAGAAGACATAGGAAGCCCACTGGATTCTTCCAGGCTGAAGAATGAACCATATGCACTGCAAAACAGCTTCACTAAAAAATTGTCTATAAGAGCAGTAGGTTAAAGCTACCCTGATTTTTGCAAATTCCCTTGAACTTAGCCCTCCCAAAACAAAGTTTCCTAGAAAAATCTTTATGTAAGAGTGGAAGTCAATATTTACCTTTGTTAACAATATATACAATGGCCTCTGGTCCCAGAGTGTCATAGAGCGGAACAGCAACCATTGAATAGGTGTAGCAGGCATACTCTGAAATGATCCACTGAAGAGAGAAAACAGCACAGCTAAGGAAAATGAGAAGCCCTCAGTACAGGATTGCCTACAGACTTCATACAGCTTGACTAGCCCATGCACATGGCAGTGGGGGGCTGTGGAAGGAGCACATCTGTGAGAATGAGAGTTGTGAGAGGTCATTGTATTAGATGCTTGGAATAATATGTGCTCAGTCAATAAAAAGGGAATTGGGAAGGCAGAAGTTGTGATTGTTCCTTATGTGGCCTGAAGTTATTTAAATACAGACTCTCCTCTCACCTCAAGGTGTTTGATTAGTGTAGGAAAGAATACACAATTGTTGCTTACCTCTGGCCTATTCTGAGCAAAAATGCCAATAAACTGGTTTGATGATGCTTGGCATCCTTTTTGCAGAAGCCCTGATCCCAGGTATTTAGTTCTGTCCGAAACCTGCAAGATAGTTATTCCCCCACTTTAGTGTTACAAGGCAGTATCCCAAATTAATTCATCTGTCGTTTACATTACTCACCTGTTTGTATGTCAGCCACTGATAAGGTTGCTTGGGTTTCCTGTAACCTAGACAGTCACCATTTCCTAATGAAAGAGTTCAGAAAAGCATTTCAAAGCTCAGTAGTGAAGCTGCATAACACTACAATAGAAACACTTAAAGTGGGAAATGTTTTCTGTCAGACATTCAGGTAATTGCATGGAGAGCAGGTCAGTGTCCACAGTTAAGCACTTTGCCCCAAACAAGATTTTAAGACTGTTAGCTTTATCCTTACAAGCAATACTTCAAATATCTGGTGATATTTTTTCCATTGTACAACCCCTGTGAGGCTGAAATTGCTTGCATGCTTAGGCCTTGTGAGGTGATGTGCACAAATTCATATCTGTTGTAAACAGGCAGTAATTTCACAGGAAAACTCACATCATAAGACAAAGGAGAGGTGTTTCCCCCCCCGAAGTTCCTCTGATGCTTTGTATCTGCTGACTCTTGACTGAACTCTACCATCTTCAGCTTCTGATGTTTGTTCCTGCCCAGTCTGCCAAATAAGACTAATGCTAAATTGGGACAGGGAGAAATATGGTCACTTGTCTCTCCACCCCACAGAAGAGCTTTTGCTAACCTGCATTATTACCACAGCCAAGACACAAGGATCTTGGAAAAAAAATTTGTTTACTTGTGATAGACAAGTGCTAACTACCAGATGCAGAGCTTACCAGAAATATTCACTCCTCTCTGGAAAACTTCATACAGGGTTTTAGCATCTTCAAAGTAATAAGAAACCAGGTTATTATCTGTCAAGACTGCACCTCTTCTGGCTCCTCCCTAGGAACAGAGCATGGTTATGAAATAGTGCAGAACAGAAGAAATGTTGTTTGTTCCTCAGTCATTCTCTCAACAATCCCCTTTAAAGCATTTCAATAGCATTTCATTGTTAGGGAAGTCTTTCCCATTCTTGATTTTGATCGACTCAGTCACATGCAGAGGAATTTTCTAGATGGCCCACAGTAACCTTCAGTTACAGATTATTGAGAGCCCTTAACTGAGTGCTACCACTTGCCTTATTACATGAAGTCTAGCACCAGTTTCAAAGCTGATGCAGTGAAAATACAGGAAAAGATGACAGCCAAAGCCATCTGGTGAAAAGCACACCTGACCCTGCTTGGAGTGAGCTGCTGTTTCACATCTTAGCATCTTAAGACTTCCCTTTTCCCCACCACGCTCTTGAGTTGTACACGTGGGAGAGAAGGCTGTGAGCATCGGACAGGAGAGTTTCCACTGACACCCAAGGTCAGAATGGATCAGTATTCAGATTAAGCTCCAAAACAGACCATGCCCACAAGCAGAGGAAGCATTACCTCAATTCCTATTGACTGCTTGTTCAAGTCAACAGGAGGTAAAAGGGGTTTTGGCCTGCTTATCACCCACAGGAAGATGACAGCTCCAAAAGTGATGAGACTGATCAGTGCTGGTGTTGGGAGCGGTGAGAACAATACTTGAAGTATCCAGATCATTGTGCTGGATCAGTGGAGCCAGAGTTGAACCTGAAACAAACAGGAGGTTTAATAGACTTGAGGTAGAAGCTTTAATTACCTATGAGCCATGGTTACTTAAGTAGCTTGTTAAACAATACTGCAAATCATTTCAGCAGTTTGCCCCTGGAGAGTCCTGGTACAATATTGAAGCACACTTATGTAATGTTTTAAGCCTCTTAAGAGATCTTAAGTCACCTGTCCCCATAAGTCTTAATCTATGCTACATCCACCTCCTCAAAAAGCTGAAGACTAATGAAGTCAAACAAGGAACAGATTATTTCCATCCTTAAGTAAACAAATCTGCCTGGAGAAAACCAGTATATAATTTCTGAAATCTATCTCCCCAAGTATAACCAAAAAATGCCTATGGTTCAATGATGTGAATTGTGGAAGTAAGAAAACTCCTCAATATTTTAAGTGTTCAGTAGGAAATGGTTTTGCTGAAATAGGAAGGGTATTATAATTGATAAATTACATGTTTGATACACCTACATATATGTCTGCAGGACAAACAGTATGTTCATTTCCAGGTGTTTTTACTGGTCACATAGTGTTTTACCATGTAGACAAATATTTCAGAGAGTGAGAGTGTGCTCAGCAAAAAAATCCAGCACAAATCAAGACTATGAAAGTTACTTTCCACTAGGAAGTGGTGACCTGGAAGTCAACATGTGCAATGGAAGTCTAGCTGGGAAATACAGAAATGATTCTGCTGCTTGCATTCCCCAGGGTATCTTCTGTCAAGGGCAGGGAAGAAAAATCTGAGAATGAAGACTTTCATACAGAGAGACCTGAGCTTTCTTCCTTAAAAACAAGTACTTTTATTTCCAAAATGTTTTTTAAGATTGAATTGCCAAGAGAAAGGACTGCTTTTTGTCTGAATCAACTCATATCTCAGCAACTTGTTGGAGATACAAACTTTATTCCTTTAGCTCAGAGCCCACTACTAAATCCAAGTGACAGAGCAAATCACATTTGCACCATTTGTATGTTGGAAGCTTTCTAGACTGACACATCTATTCTCACATCTTTTTAGAAGGATGCCAGAATAGTCAAGTTAAAACTCCCCTCAATAATGATTATTAGCAATCAGTTTAGGCACTTTTCCAGTCTTCTCCCATGCCCTGGTGGCAAAAAGGAGTTTTCACTCAGTGCATTTCACATGACTCTTTCCTGGTCATGAACTTTTTCAATCAGCAATGAGAGACTAGAGCTATGTGGAGGTAACCAGAGAGACCACAGGACAGCCTGTACAGCTGCACCAGTTTTATTGGCTGAAGTGTGCTGTCATCTGCTTATTTTAATAGTACTTTTGAGATGATTTCCCAGAAATCATGAATGATTTGTTGTTTTTAGAGTATCATGCTAGAAGTAAGAAACAACAGTATTTTATTTATGGCACAAAGTTCTCTTTTTAAACTTATTTATATGGCTTACCATAAACACTGTCTGACTAGGTCAGACAGATCAGAGCAGTTGTCACAAGGAGTCTGTTACATGGACTTGTTTGACAGAAAATTTACTGAAGACACTTGTCTGACCTTTTTGTGATAAGGATCAGAGAACCCAGTAACCCCAAATGCTCCATGCAGCAGTAGACAAGTCACCGAAAATTTTTCCATCAGGGTATTTTCCTGTTCTCACTGACTCCCATGCAAAGTAGTTTGTATCAAGACATCTAGGAGGACTGAACACCAAGCCCTGAAGAATATGATTTTTTTGCTTGAAGCAAAGAACTCAAAGTCCAGAGAGAGCACCTAATCAAGAAATGATCATGAAATGCAGCAAAACTTTTGTCTTCAGGTTCTGAATTGATTCCACAAGCCTCTTGCATAAAAAGAAAGACCAGGCAGTAGTCTAATCCCATTGTAGCCCACCCAGCATCCCTATAGCTAGTCAAGGAGGATTTTCAGTTATATTTGAATGACTTTTTAATTGAAAGAAAGACCTACTGACAAATTCTATAAAGTCTGGGAAGTGTTATATGCTCATTAGCTTCTAGGGTTTGGTGGGTGTTTTTAGTAACTGTCTTCATTAGCCCACTTACAGCCCTGACTGAGACTACATGTGCTGGACTTTGCATATACACCCTTTAAAGATAGAGACATTAGTGTTGTGTAAAAAAAAACCCCACAGATTCACAAAAACACAGATCTAGATAATACAAAACAAAATGGGGCTTTTTTTCATATTTGAAAAACTATTTTCAATTCCCTTAATTAATAGAATAGTGACAGTGTTTTCTTTTACTTTCCAATTGTTTCCACAAATGGACTTTAGTCTCTTCTGTCAAAGCATATAGGGTGTGTTATTCAAGCTGTGGCAAGAGATTGCCAGCAAATTTGTCTCAATTACCAGAATTAGGTCAGTTGTTTCCTACGCTTACAGCTTTTACTATTTGTCAATCCAAATTAGTAGCTACTAATTTATCACTTCTGGTATAATTCAAATGCCATTTAATCCTGCTGCCTTCGAAGCAGAAAAGCCAGAGAGTACAGGAATTTGTACTTGATAGACCTTCCTGTCCATGCTAAGAGAATAGCTGCAGCCTAGATCTGTTCTATGGAACAGCTGCAACCAGAGTTTAACACACAAATCCAAGTGCCCCCGCATACATAATACCTGATCTAAATCAACTTAGTGAAAACTCAGTGCAGAACAAGAAAAATCAGAGCATTTTGGACAGCCACCAGCTTCTACTGCAGGGTAGGTGATCCCTTAAAAAGCTGCCTTTTTAAACATCAAGGGGTCAGAGGTGGAGTGTCTGAAACCCCTGGGTTCTGACAGCTCAACTCCCAGGGATACAAATTGCACAGGGTGTCTCAAACCACCTGTTAAGCCTCTTGTGCAATAAGATGCTGGACAGTTGAAAGTGTACTTAGGTTGTCTGCCCTGATCAATGGTCAGGGATAAGATGCACTAAACTCCAGAGTCAAAGGCTTAGTTTTTATCAGAAGAGATTACAGTGATACCATTTACAGCTTTGAGTTCAGGAGTACACATTCTCATTTCTACTGTACCTTCCCCTTTACAGTTATTCCATCATTACCTAGAAGGAATTAAAGTTATTCTCTATGCTCTCCATGTGAGGAGATTCTCCACTGGAAAATGGCTGATCTTTGTACTTTTTAGTACATAAATACCAAGAAAAATCCAGTGACCACTGCAAGAGTTCATTATGGACAACAAAGCAAGCCCTGATACTTGCACAATTTTGGAAGCAACAGTGTGCAGTTCCTGGGAGAATGTCTTCTGGAGTTATGTATTTTGTATCAAGTTTGCCTAAGCTTTTGATGTGATCATGACATCTTTTTTCTCAGGATTAGCAAGGTTGCACTGTCTGTTTACAAGCAGGAAAAGTGAAGTACAGCCACCTACACTATGTAACTAGTCAGTTACTTAACCATCAGTAACTCCCTCTTTCCATTTGCCTATGCAGTGCAGCTCTAGCCTGGTGTCATCCTGCAGATGTGAGCCAGTTCTTACTCCTTGGAAACTTTATATTACTCATGCCTTCTTATTGCAGCTGAAGGCTTGTGTGCCACAGGTTTAGGAACATCTAACTTTGAGCATTCAGAGAGAAGTTAAAGCACAAAAGCTTGTCAGTGACTTCTGAGCAGAGCCATGCAAAAAATGAAGCAAAATGCTCAGTAACCTGCATTAAGCTCAGGATACACTTCAGTGAGGCTTTGCTTTTAGAGTACCTCTTCAGAGAGTCAGAGCCAAACAGTTCAAGCACCCTTTGATCTTAGCTGAGAAACACTCTGCTAGAGGGTGGGAAAGGACGAGGCCTCAGTAACTTGCTTTCAGGAAGTAAAGTGCTGTGGTTTCTAAGCCTCACTGATGAAACCTATTGGATTCAAGCTTTCAGTATATTTAAATAGAAAGACCATTTTTTAAATAAGGAATTTCACTGCATTGGATGTTACTGTTTCTCTGTCAGGAGGGCAATAACTTCATGACACTACTTAATACTGAGTTATTTTCTTAGATAAATTGAAATGCCAAGCTTTCGTGTAAAGATATAGTTTTTATATCAGATTTTCTCCATGAAACTACCTACTCAGAAACATGCTCAACTGACCTTTGAAGTTTTTAAGAATTTAAAATATAGTCAGTGTTACAGGTTCTGTTACTGTTTATCCTACTGGATAATACAGGTTCACTTCTTGCAAAACATTCATGCATCAATACTATATTAATAGGTAGCTTTCTATAGTGATAGGGCATGGTATTTAGAGCAAGGACTAAAACTTGAAAGTTCACATAAAACTCCTAAGAAAACTCGAATATTATCACTAGGCACCTTAGCCACATGGAGGAAAGGTAGCACTTAAAGTTTCTAGATACTAATGTCCATTACTCCATATTATCACAGCACTTCTATTATGAAGAACAAAGAACAAACACATATCTGAACTTAACTCAGCCCAAGGTCCACATTTAACTGATAGCACACTACCAGAGATTTCCTAGGAGGCTCCTGAAAAATTCATTATCTTGAACCCTGCATCTAATCACTGCACTTGCACATTGGATTTAGTAAAGCCCATGTGTGTAACAACAAGCAAACTCATGAGCAATAAAACAAATACAGTAGAACTTCATTACTTACACAGAAAATATGGCACAGCACATATAGAGATGAGAACTAGTGGGTAAAGGCACCTACCATTTTGAATATAGGGTAGGAAATAAACCTTTTCTCCTTAAGTAAAAGGGAGCCTTAGTAGCACAGTATAAAATCAACACCACTTAGGTGACAATCACGTTAAAACTACAGCCAGTTTTCTCTCCCCAGTTTAAATAAATCAGCAAGCAGAAAAGTACATTGGGAGGGGAGCTTTAAAGGGGAGGAACTTGTATGGGGGAACTGGAGTGATTAAAAAAACCCAGAAAAACCCCAACAACCCACCCACAAAAGAGAGTCATTGAGCTTTTTTGTTTGTTAATGAGAACAGCTTGAAGTAGATCTAAATGAATTGTAAACAAAAACATTATGAAATTATATTTATAGTTTATTCTTTCTAATCTGTTTGTTATTATCTTCCCTATGTATTAAGCTGTATTCTCAACAATAGCAATTTTGTCTCTATAGCTGCATATATGTTAAGGTGAGCACAGCTTTGTAGCCTGTAATACCAACAAAATGTTTTGACTACAGCATTTCTCTTATACTGCTGCAATGGACTTGCTGGTGAGTTGGATTTCTGCTGATGGTTTTATTTTATATGGTTTAGGTGTTAAGTTTCTTGTTGGTGTTGTTGGGTTTTTTCCTTTTTTTTATTTTTCAAAATCTACCTAGTTCTTTCTGTTCTGTTCTAGACATACATAGGTGTAATTATTTGTACAAGGTAAGAGTGAATCATGTTCCAAGCTTGAGTTTTGTTTCCTGCTATGTCAGGGATTTTTTTTTATGATTTCACAGCTTCATTTCTTTGTTTAAAAGTTTATAGGTGTTGCAGTTTCCCTTTTTCTCTTCAATGCTTGTCTAATATAACTGGAATTTTGCAGTGGGTTTGGAGGGATGGGAAGACAGCAACTTTACCTATCACTCTTCTTTATTACCTTAACCACAGATTTTAGAATTGTTTTGTCCACTTAGGAGTTCCCTATGTGACAGTTTTCCTATGCTGCATGATTTAATCTGCTTAGCTAGACAAAATATAAAGCTGAGATAGAATTAACTCAGAATGCACCTTGCATCCAAAATACAAACCTGTACTGGACCTTGGCTTTCTAAAACACATAGCCCCTACTAATTGCAATTGTGTTTTTATTGCTGCTGTAAACTTTATACTATTCAGGTAGACCTAATTTATATGCAGTTGTGGCATTATTTAGCCATGTAGGTATCTTTTAGGGAAACTGAGGGTTGATTCACTGATTTTCCTGTAAGCTGAGTATGAAAAAAAAATAGCTTTCTCTTCATGAAACTCCTCTGCCTTTGGCTGTGCCTTCCCAGACCTGTTCTTGTGGCATTTCCGAGAAGCTGAGCTTCAGCTTTAATAGTGACTGTCAGGGGACATTTGTGCTTATAGAAAGAGACAGGGCCAGGCTCCCAGCCTAGCCAGTTCCATTATCACCCACTCTGTGTGCCTCTCTTAGCATTTTCCCCTTCACAAATCTAGCCTCTGGCTGTTATTTTTCCAGCAGCAGGAGAAGAAGCAGTGAGTTTGCCCTGTCATTGGGTCAGCTGTTGGGTAGCAGTGCTGTGTGTCTCAGGTGCATTGACTTTGCTGCAGGGTGGGAGAACATGCCCACAGCACGGTCCTACCTGGCCTGCCAGGAGCCCAGAATGTGATGCAGAGCTCCATGGGCTGGAAAGGCTACACTCCATTGCCTGGGCTCAGTGGGTGTCACAGTTCCAACATAAATTGCATTAAAGGATGCACACAGGAAAGCTTCTCCTTAATGATCATTTCTGTTCAGTGCTCATAAATTAGAATACTGCTGACACCCTTACCCTTACATAACAAATGACATGCAAATGTTGAGGCTTTTAATTTTTCATAAATTATCTGAATAAACTCCAGATTTTTGAAAGGCACAGATTTTTTTTGCTAGTAATTTTCTGTCAAAACACAAAGCAGAGTTATGAATCCCAGCCTTTACTTCCCTTTGTGCATGTATATAAAATTTACACCTGCATCCCTCATACCCTTTAGAGACTTAAGGTGAGCAGCAGGTAGCTTATGTATATGGGGAGTTCAAGTTGTTTCCTTTCTGTTGTCACTGTCAAAGAAGTTTTGCATAGAGGATGAACCAGGTGAGCTTTTGTAACAAACCTTAACGTCATGGCACGACATTAGCTTTTGTTATCCAAAGATGCCAAAATAACCTTTCTACATATAGCAAGTAGCAAAGGATGTAAACAAATTAAAGGAAAGCTCTGGCTCTATATACTATTTTCTCTGTTGTCCCTTCAAAACTTGGATTTAAATTTTGTGAGTCTGTGGGCGGTGTGAGCTTACTTTATTTGGATGATTTTTGAATTCCAGTTTGTTCTCTTAATGCTATAAACAGTAATTCTTTATTGTTCTGTTCTACTTTTCAAGGGCCATATCTGGCTTTGTAAAGCAGAATAACTGCATTGAAACACAAATTATCTTCTCAGACTACAAGTGTCTTCCTCAAGAAAGGAGGTATGGATAGGAGATGGGCTTAGGACTTGGAAGAGCAGCATGTTTTTTGCCAGTTCTCTTGCTTGCAGCTTGATTTCAGGTTGATCTTTGTCTCCACCATCCTCTCTGTACACAAGCAAGAGCTTGGAGAAAGCTCCATCTCTACAGCTGGAACAAGAAGTTGTGCCAAGGCAATGGCAACAGTCTGGTGCACCATACCCTATGATATGGGCTCTTAAACCATTACAAAAAGCATTATATCTAGTTTATATGTTCTTAGGTAGGGAGTAAGATGGATTCTATTGTATTAAATGTTGCCAATAAGCTTGTGCATATAAGTGATTTAGCATATTGCAACCTTTTACTGTTTGTGATGCTGTGAAAACAAATATTCTTGTATTTTTGGAACCTGGTTTAAACATTAGTGTGAATGGGAGCCTGGCACTGCTACTTTGTGCACTGTATCTTTAAATAGGCATAACTAACAAACTGATAAGAAAATGGTTTCAGCCTGCACTGTAGATAGGTTTCAACTTCCAGCCAGTCTATAGCAACAGGGAATGTTCAGGTGTCTGCTCTCATTCAGGCTGTGATTTCCCTGTATGCCACCCCTGAGCCCAGACTTGTTTCTTTAATAATATGCAGCCAGTTATGCAGCTGCTGCCTTTAACAGCACACAAGGTGATAATAAGGGTGCATTGGATCCAGGTATTGCAGCAAATCGAGGTTATTATTCCACTTGCAGTACTTCTCTGCAGGAGCAGGAAGCCCAGTACTCGGGAAACACAGGCTCTGACTAGGAGGGATTTGCTTACCTTCCTTCAGTGCTGGAGGAGGGTGGAGGGGCTGATACAGCTTGCTTCCTTTGCTGCTTTACAACTCCCAGGGGGTGTTCTAGGGTTGGTTCTTCCCCAGCTCCAGTGGTGCTTTCCCAGCTCCCGTGGCAGGACTAAGCCCCAAATCATCAGAGTGTGGCTTTAATAAACAGGTAACACTGCACCCAGGTAACCTTTGAACCTGCCTTGCAACAGGTTCAAAGGTAAAAAAAAAAAAAATAAAAAATTATTCCTGATCAAATATAAAGAGCAATTTTGGCTGGTTAGAAATGTTAAACATACAAGTCTTGCACAACGGCATTAGAAGAGAGCAGCTCATTGTGAAAACTAACCCCAGCCCTGTGAAAGCTGCAGCCCTGGGTTTTTCTTAGGGCTCTCATTTACTCCCGTGCACACAAGGCACTGAATTAGTCTTGCTCCACCAAGAAAAGGTGCCTCTTAAATTGCACTTTGAGCAAGAAGACATATTCCAATATTTTTCACCAGATGCTTTGTGTAGAATCCAGTCCTTGGCATGTCCAGCTGCTGAGGCATGGCTTTCCCTGGCAGCTCCAGGGGTCTGTGAAGCAGCCAATCCTTTGGGGTCAGGGCTCTCAGCGCCTGGGATGTGTGGGGGGCTGGTTATCTCGCCACAGTGCACCTTCCCTTTTGACACTGTGCAAAGGTTAGTGCACTTGCTCAACTGCCTAGTAGGCCAAGCCTGTTTTATGAGAGATTTCTTGTGTTGATTTAAGCAACTGTGGTTTTGGTTTGTTGTTTTTTTTTTTTTGCCTTCCTCTGTCTCTGAAATGGGAATGAGAGGGCCTGTGCTTAATGCTTCTTGAGAAAAATAGTTGTGACATGAGGTATGCAGGCTGGGCTGGCAGGTGAAGCTTCCTGGCTTTGCTTCCAAAATCTGTGGATATGATCTTTGGAAGACATTTTCTGCACATGATCCAAGAGATAGGGCTAAATAGCAAAGTCCTTTCAGCACTCACGTATTAGAGGGCATCCAAAGGAGGGCAGTGAAGATGGTGAAGGGCCTTGAGGGGAAGCCGTATGAGGAGCTGCTGAAGGCACATGATTTGTTCAGCCTGGAGAAGAGCAGACTGAGGGGGAAAGTTTCCTTGTGATGGGGAGAGGAGAGCTAGGCAGCTCTTCTGTGGTGACCAGTGACAGGATCCAAGGGAATGGAAGCTGTGTCAGGAGAAGTTCAGGTTGGATATTAGAAAAAGGTTCTTCACCCAGAGGGTGGCTGGGCACTGGAACAGCTCCCCAGGGCAGTGGCCACAGAGTTCAAGAAGTGTTTGGACAATGCTGTCAGGCACATGGTGGGACTTCTGGGAATAGTTCTGTGCAGGGTAAGGAGTTGGACTCGATGATCCTCGTGAATCCCCTCTGTCACAGAATATTCTGTGATTCTGTGACTGGTCAAGATAATAAACCTTTTGTTGATCTAGGTCTGGTTTGTCTGGCGCAGGAATTTGACTCCTGTATGATATCTGAAGAGTAAACTAATACTAACACTTTTCACTTAAGACCTTAATTATTCTTAATTGGTGTAAAGGAATCTGCCTGTACCAGTGGATATGAAAAAAAGTGGAAGTACCTGTGCCAACACAACATCCTAGACCTTCTGTTTGCAAACTCCTCTTAAGTTTTAGAAAATGTCAGTTTAAGGAGGATGAAAGAAAATGAATGGGAGAGTTTTCCAAACTTGGTGCAAAGAAGTGACACCAATGTTGGTCTCTTGGCTTCTGTCTGTGGTGCATCTTGCATGTGGGAAACAAAGCATTTGATTCAAGGTTTTTACAAGGTATGCAACAGATACTAATAATTAGTAGTTGGGCAGGTCCCCATTCAGCCTAAGTGGATATTGCATCATCATCTCAAAAGAGCTGGAGTGACTGACACCATCTGTGGTTTTGGCTCCTAGATGTGTTTTATAAACCAGTGGGGGTGGGGGAGGAAGGCGGGGAAGCATAGCAGAGTCACTCGAGAAGGGAACAAAGCCAGTTACCTGAGCTAGCTCTATGTGTAACGTTGTAACTGCTTTTCCTTCTCCACCCTTTCTCTCTGGTACACAAAGCACATGGCATTTTACCTCGTTTGAACAGCAAATTAATCCAAGTTGTGGTTTTTTGTCACCTTTCACCTATACAGTTTCTTCCTAATGAATTAAAACTATTGATTAGTTCACTGATCAAAACTATGAACTGAGCCACTTGGAAGAGTGAGTGTGTCATCCTTGAGTCTGGCAGGGGAGGCTCGTGGTCACATGTCCTGCTAATAGTGGTTAACCTTTTTTCAGCTTGTTTTGAAAGCAGGTGTGAGAAAACACATTCACAAGTGCTGGAAGACATTGGGCTGTGTTCTATAGTGCAGGCTTGTCTCCGAACATCGCCTGTGTTCCTTGTTCACAAATGAGTGATGCTGTAGTTTGTGATCTCAGTGACCAAGGCACACAACCAATGACATAAAATAACCTAGATCAGCTGTGCAAACATCACCTGTGCCCCAGTTCTGAAAATAAGGAAGCTGAAGGCAAACCCACAAAGACCAGGGGTTATTTTCACAAGATTGGGAAAAAAAATTCAGGTAATGAAAATAATATTTTTTCCCCTCAAAACTTAATTATTAAGAAAATTAATGACAAATGCCATGATGAATTCTCTGTAGGTTAGCAGGGACTCCATGAATTTTATCAGTCTAGTCATTTTTTGAAGTCTGAGCAGATTATGGCTCAATATCTATTCAAACCATTACTTTTTGGCAGAAGTGTCTGCGTGCATGGGGTTTTCAAGATGGTGAGAATGTGATTTTTCCTTTGCTGTTTTTACAGATGACAGAAAGCTCAACAGTTTCCCTTCTTTGTTTAGATCCGTTTTCTGTGCTGATGTAAAGTATCCCTGTTCAGATTAACACATCTTTCAAATGTAATCATTTGCCCCTTGTGCAATTCACTTGACTCTTGAATAATGAATAAAGGAACCAAAAGGGAGCAAAAGAAATTAAAGAGTGTGTCTTCCAGCCTTGTTTGAGCTCCATTATTGAATGCAGGATTCAGAGATGTATTTTAGATACCTTCCAGTGAACATAGAACTGTAGGATATCCCTGAATGCTGCTTAAAAGTTATTCTTACTGAGGTTGTGCAACCAGTCTGAGCTGTGAAAGAGTGGAGCTAAAGGTCATTACCACACAAAGCTGGAGTTTAATCACGTCTAGGTACCATATAAGAAACCTTTTTTTATTGGTCTTGTGAAATCTACTCGAATGCAATAGGCTGTTGAATGATAAATGCAAAATAAACTCTAACCCTTCAGCCTAAGTAGTTGCCCTGACATAGTAAAATTTGGTGCCAGGATATTGTAAGTAATTTTTACTGTGCTAAAACATTTGTGTGAAAGACATAGATGTGTTGTTGAACTGTTTTGACAATTAAGGAGGCTCTACATGTATTTGCAGTTGCTCTGTGGTGTCCAAGAACAACTGCACGCTACTTTTGTTGCAGGATGTGGCTGCTGCATAAAATTGAAGAATCTGAGTGAATTTGCTGCTTCCACGTTACCATTGACAATCTTGCATTCTCCTCTCTTTGTGCAAAGCTGAGTGGTGTATGTGCCTGTGTCTATGGTTTTAAAACCAGACTAAACAGAACTAGTAGAAGTGTGGGTGTTAAATACATACAAGTATGAACTGGTACTCTCTACCTTGCAGGGAACAAAAGCATCTGATTTCTATCTTGACCTGCTGACTCTATAGCATAGCTCTAAGCATAACAACTGACAGATAGTTCTACTGATTTGACTGGAAACCTTTTAATATGTTATAATTGGCCTATTTGGGGTCAGAATTTGTCATCAAAAGACTAATTCTTCTGAGCTCTGATACAAAAGAAATATTTGGCATTGATCACTTCTTTTCAATCTGATAAGATGCATAGATGATCAAAAAACTGAAGCTACTGATTCATTTGCTCAGTAGTTTTCAAAGTCCAGTTCTCCTATTCCACTTACACATTTACTTGAACATTTTTGCTGTACTTAGCCTCCCCTACAGCCAGGAAAAAATGTGGGCAGCATAAGCAGACATGAAAGTTTATGAACAGAGACTTTGACTCTTGGCCATTCAAAATGGAAGTAGGAAGATGGAGCAAATATTTCCTAGTGACTTTAGACTTTGGATTTTCATACTAATAAAAGGAAAAGGCTGATGTTCAAAGTGAGCAATGCCTGACGTGTAATGTAAAGATGAGGAAAGTTTAAAGACCACTTGAATTGCTTCTAAGTGTTATCAGAGCTGTAATTTCATTAGGTGGTTAAATTCTTTTTGAAATCACTGAATGCCAAGTTTTGTTTTTAAGATAACAAGCTTTTGATGTTGCAGTGGTAAATACAGTGGTTTTCTAAGATGTCTGTTACAGTCCTCTGTGTGTTGTGTCTTGGACATGTCATCTGTCCACCTGTGCTTGACAGAAAGGATAAGCCTTGGAGTTTAGCTTTTTTTCTGATATTCTGATGAGATTTAGATCCATCTCTAATTTAGAAACTCTCTAATGCACGGTCTCTTTTTTTTTTCTTTCTGGTTGAGATAATACCACTGATGTTGATTACCAATAATTATAAACCAATAGATGTTCAGCCTTTAAAATATGGCAGATCTTATAGATTGTTATAGAAACAGTGCAGAATTAATTTCTGTAATTTCTAAAATATTTTCCCTTGATCTGTGTTTCAGCTCAAGTTTTGACTGAGTCAGCTTTGGCCCAGTTAAAGACCAGGTTAAATATAAGAAGTTCAAGACATTGTGAGATAAGGTGTCCAATGCTTTCGTGATTTAATTCTCTGGTTTTCATTAGGCACATAGATTTAATGAATTATGCTGTTGGACCAGTACTGGGATGGTCTTTAATTCCCACATATGTATTTCTTTTGGAATCTGTGTAAAAAGACCACTGGAGCTAAATTTTAGAAGGTTTTTGAAATCACTGTCATGCAAGGTCACAAAAAGAACTGCTTTGAACTGAGAATTTAGATTTTAATTAAGCCTCTCTTGTTGAAGTTGCTTATGTAATGATTAAAGCACTTGTATTTTGGTGCCTAAAAATAGGTTCAGAAATGCAGAGACTGTGTTTGAGGTAGTTTCAATAACATATGTGGGTTTTCAGGGCTGCACAGATAAAGAATTTTCAAATTCAATTTTGTGCCAAGTGAAGCTACTGACTTTGAAAAAGTTAATTGCTTGAATTAAAATGCATAGTTTTATATTGCAGTTCAGGGGGATACATTGAGGAAAGAGGGTAGTGATACTCAAATGCAGGCAATCAGTACTTCCTGTGACTAAACTGTAACCCCTGGGTCATGTTTAGTAAGGGTTTGGAGCAAGGTGAGAACATGAATTTGCATACTTGATTCAGTACAGTGTGATTCAGAATGAGTGTGTGATGTATGGGGTTGTAAATTCTCTAATGCCCTTCTAAGGCATTTCCTCTGCAGTCACTGCAGTGGACTTGAAAAGGGGTGAATCTGATGCTTTTTAGTTTGGCTTCAGCAGATATGATTGTCAAAAGGTACTGTAGGAAGTCACAACAAATCAATAATCAGGTGTGACATGGTGAGCACTTATGTACATACAGTTGAATTTCCATCGTGTTCAGTGTGACTTCTCATGTCTTTTAAAACTAGCATGTTTCCCAGATTTGTTTTAGACAGAAAGGATCTGCAATAAGTATATAACAAGAACAGGGATTTCTCTTTGGTTAGGATGGCAGCAAAAGTGTGTGCTTTTCTGTCCAGGAAAAAAATTTCTACCTGTGCTGTGTAACACAGAATGTTACTTCTGGTTTACATGGAGAGAGATGAACACCACCAGCACTGAGGTAATCTTGCACTTCACTGCTAGTGGTACTTGCCTCATCCTCAATTACTCTTTTACTGTATCACATATACCCAATTGTTTTCCTTCCAGCTGAAGTGTGATAAACAATATATGATAAGCTGTAAAATCCGACCTGCCCTAGGTTGCAATATATATTGAGTCCAAACTCAGGATGCCACTGAAACAATTAAATCAAAATTAATTAAGCCTATTTAATTAATATCTGATGACACATAAATCAGAAATCACAGCCAGCAGAAAACAAAATGGACTAAGAGGGAAGCATAGTGTCTGAGGTACAACTGTGCTCCCACTTGGTGACAGCACATCTCATTGTGCCCTTCAGTGCCACTCCTGCCCATCAGCGCTGCAATAGAGAGCTATGCCTGCTCTGGTGAACCTTGCCAACGCTTTGGTTAATGTGCCAGACACCTTTGAGATTGTTGTGGCACCTCAAGCACCTTGGAATGCTTCCTACCCACACTGCAGCCAGAAGCTGGGCTCAGCCCTCCAGATTGCTGTCAGCACCCATTTCCAACCAGTCGTCTTTAGCCCAGCTTTTGTTTACGCTGGTTGTGTTTGCAAAGGAGCCTTCTGATGCCTTCCCCTGTCAGGTTCAGCAGGAGAATGTTTCATTCCTTTTGGACCAGATTGCTCAAAGGCTGAGGTGGAGTATCTGTTTCTGTGTTTTGCTTGCTTCGCCCTCCAAGCCCTGTGATTCTGGGGTTCGGGTATTTGAGAACAGTGCTTTGACCAATTGTCTCCCAAATTTCAGTGGGAAGTGCTGGCATGGGAGAAAGCTTTGTCTGATTTTTGACTCAGACTTGTATTTGTCTTCTTTGGTAAAACCCAGTTTGACTGCTGCTTTCCTGTAGATGCTGTGTTCCATTTCCAGGCTTTTCTGGAGGAGTGCTTTGGCATAAAACTATTGTTCTGAGGATCCAGGAGGATTTTTGTCAGGGGCTCTGTACCCTCTGGCATTGTTTATTCTGCCTCCAAGCCCACAGGTTACTGCAGTGCATGCATCTCACTTTGTCCCTCAGCATAAAATTCTGTAATTCTTGTGATGACCCTGTGTTCCTGCCAGTAGTGCTAAAATGACATGAGACTTTGGACAACAAGCTGGGAAATTGGGCATGGGGAGGAGATTGAAAACTGCTGCCTCTCTGTCAGTCTTTTGTGTAAGTTAACATAGTCTTAACACAGCTTTCCTGTGGCATCTCCTCCCTTTCTGGTGAGAACTTCCTTTGATACAGATTGCTTTGTGCCTGTGCCAGATCTGGGAGCATATTCCTCCTGCTCTGAAGCTGGTACTTTCTGTAAGGAAATGAATGGGACAGAAGGGGGTTTGTTTGATAATTATAACAAATGACAGAAGGGTAAGCACTTAACAGCAAACCCAGGCAAGTAGTGCTCTTCAGCTGTACTGAACTCTTGAATCAGCTTTTTTTGCAGTCAGCTCTATCATTTTCTCTTATGAGAAGCTGATTTCTGTTCAGACTGTTTCCCCACAAAGTACTTTCTAGGAGACCTCAGAGTTATTTAGGAAGGAGTTTTATTTGTCTTTAGCAGTTTCAGAAAGCGGAACCTTATTTTGCTGTGAGGATCTTTCAAACTTTAAAAAGCAGAACAGTTTTGGCTGAACAGAACTGCATTATTTTTTTTATGAAATGCTGAAGCACAGTGTCTTCACTTAATTTCCAGCTGGGCTTGGACGTTTTGCAATATGATTTGCTGCTGTTGACACCAGCCTTAAGAAATAATTTAACTAGTCAGAAACAGACTGCATTTTTAGCCCCAGCCTTGTACATCCTGGGGTGGCACTTCAGGCACTGGCTCATGCTGCCTTGAGTACCTTTTAAGCCTGAGGCAGCACTGCCTGGATTAATCTCTGTACCATGGGATGTTACTGTACTTGAGGCTGCTTGGAGCTCCTGAGTGTTTCCTCTTCTTTGGCACACAGCCTGCTCTTTTCTCAGCCTTTCAAACACAACACCCACCATGGTATAGTTTGCCCCAAAACTGTGCTTTGAGCTCCTCTGGCAGTCTGCCCATAGCTGAAGATGAATTTGCTATGACTGCAGTCACAGCATTTTGACTCACTCTGTAGCAATCCAAAGAAGGTGCTTCCTGGTAGAGGTATGCAATGCAAATGCTAGAAAATATTCCTGCAATACCACATCTCTGTTTATAACTGGTAAGATCCAATTTCAAATCTTCCTTGAGGAAATGATGGCATTTAAGCTGGGCTCATGTCTATAGCTTATAAGGAAATCTGTCTCTCTGTTAGCAGGAGCAAGCAATAAAATGCTATAAATGTTGTAAATACTATAAATGTCAAATCAGCATCATCATTGAGAAATATATCATTAATGATATGAGCTTTAGGCAGCTGATTCTGAGCAGCAGAGGAACACTTGAAGAGTGTTAAACTGTTCAGTCACTTTGTAAATACTAAAAACTGCTTGAATATAGTAATCATTATTTGCTCCATATGCTGTACATGGACTCCACAAAAACCACTTTTTCTGTGGAAACACCCTCTGTTGTCCTCTTCTGGCTGCTGCTATCCCGAGCTTACTCATGTGTCAGCCTCTGGAGTGGAGTGCAGATCCAGATTGCAAGACTTCCTCCTGAGGTGCTGTCACGTGCCACACTTCATTTTATATACCCACATATTGTTGGAAAACCTTTGGTGTAAGTAGTATCATTAATTATTCCATATTAGAGTATGCCAAACACATTTTGTTGACCAAATGTGAGGAAAGGGTCCCGTATTCCCACAGAGCAGGAGCTACTATAGGTGTTTGACTTCAGCCTCCCAACACAGCTGGAGGACAACCCAAGGCTCTGGAGATTCTTACAAGTACTGGACATGATGAGTCTTTCTTTCTTCACTTCAATTTCATTCAAAAGTGGTGCACACTGGTGTCTTTATTTTTTTAAAATTAAGTTTTTGCAAGAAGACACATTAGGAAACACTTCTGTAACACCCAGATGAATTTCATCTCATTTGCATTCTCATCTCCAAATTTTGCAATATTTGTTTGTTTAAAAAAAATTAATTAAAAAAGGGGAAAAAAACCCCTTTGTCTAAGGAGGCATATCCAGGCAGTAGAGTTGATGGCTTCACTTAATTCTGTGTAGTCACAGAGATACAGTACTACTTCATTATTTGAAAAAATAGCATCCATGCTGTTGCTGGGATCCTCCTTTTTATCTTGTGGGTTGAAGTGCTATTTGCTTTCTTCCAGTCTTGCAGTAATTCCACATGCTCTTCAAAAATACAGATCAGTATACATTGATTCATATCTCACATATTTCCATGTATCAAATAGTTGTCATAGAAGTTAAGAATTTAGAATTTTTATTTCTCCTATCTCCATCCCTTTTCCTTTTCTCGTCACCCCAAAAATGCAAATGTACCAAGCAAGTGATCACACAATACCTGTTAGTCAAGACTGGTAAATGGAATTAGGTATTCTAGAGAGGATACTCCTCACACATAAAACCATAGAAATCTCCTAGCATCTTTTAATGAGCTTACTGTGAAAGATCAAAACATGCATTATGGCACACAAGAGAGCAGAAGTGATCAACAATGTCATTCAAGTCCTAAGTCTGTGGCAACAGGGAGTTGTTAACTTCAGCTAAGCACCCTTGACCAAAAATGGATAATGCAAGCAACATTTTTTTAAAAATTCTTTTTCTTTTGGTTATTTTTGTCTTAAGTCACTTACCTCTTTCAGTAGAATATCAGTTGTTGTTTCTGTAATCTCCTTAGCACTGTTGTTAGCTTCCTGCTCTTTGCTATTTGATCTGCTTACTCAACCATCTTTTATACTGACAGCTACACCCTCACATAATAATAACTTGTTTTTATGCAGTGCATTCACCTCAGTGATTTTCCCAGCCTACTCATAACCTCACAAACCTGAAAACACTGTTTTAATAGGATGCTGTCTACCCTCTAGCTGTCTAATCTGTTAGTGGTATTTTTTCTGTGATTTCAAGATCACTTCCAGTGTGGCTCCAAGGGTCCATAGCAAATATATAGATTTACTCTAGATCAATATGGTAAAGAATTTCAGTCTGAAATTGATTTTTCCCATTAAATTGAAATGATTCACAAAAGGACTATCTCAGTGGATCCATTTTGACAATAGAATTTCCATATTCTTGTCAGAGATTGAAACTTTTCTAGTGGAGGTTCAGTGGCCAGACTTAACACAGAGCTTAAAATTGAAGTAAATTATCTTTTCATCCAGAGCCCTTGTGATTGTTGTTTCTAGCCATCTTAAGACAATCCATTTAAGTGGCTGCCAGTTACATGGAGTTTTACATCCATGTTTGGGGGACATCCCTCTCAGTTCATCCCCAGTTTGCAAGACCAGAATCTCAAGCAGCTGCCTATTGATTCAGAGATTGTTATTGTCTAAAAAAAGTCTCTCAGAGAAATCTTGCTGTCGTGTTTAATACCCTTTCAATGAATCCCAGCTAGAGATTGTCCAAGAGCAGCTAATGCAGCTGTTCCTGCCCATGTCTGCCTCACTGGGCTCCTCCCAGGTGTCAGGGACTGATTTCTCTGTGCTGCCACAAGGCTGGTGCAAAGAGCACCGTGAGCCTCTCTGGAAGAGTGGTTAGCTTTCATCTTGCAACATTTTTGTTTGCTCAATTACTTTTTTCATTCCCATCTGACCTTTTCCCAAGTCAAATGATTATTTTTTTTTTTTTAATCAGAGACTAGAGACCAAAACTTATGATATAAATCACAACCCTGGATATAAATCTTGATACAGGCATATATCATATGGAAAAGACCTGGTTTTTGCTGATTGCCTAATAGTTCCTTAGGTAACACATGATCCTGTTTAGTTAATTCTGTCTGCTGATTTGGATCACTGTCATCTTTGCATCCTTTAACTCTCCTGCAAGCTCCTCAGTTTCAGTACTGTCCCTTTCAGTGTGAATGTCAGGCCAAAAACATTGAGATGTTTTGTTTGATCTAGGCATTGTGGTATTATAAAAATCAGCCATGTTTTGATAGAGGAAATTAGACAAATATATGGTAATTAAATATTTGAGAAAAACACATAACTATAGCTTTTTCTGTAGCTTAGCAAGTGCTGTGTGAAAATCCTTCTGAAGCTATCATGGCAAGGAATGCATTACATAGTAGTGTAAAACATGCAAACAACTGAAATCTGTGGGAGAACAATAAATCCAAACTGACCTCCAAGAAAGAAAGTAAGTCAGTGGGAATTTGGATTGTTGAAGATGATAAAACAATTTAGAGTTGCACTACAAAATAACTTTTACCTGTTTATTTTCTGACACAAAATAAAAGGCCATCTTCTTGTGACCATCTTTAGAGCACTTTGTTTTGGTCTTCTGACTGAAATATCCCTGTGTTTTGGTATGGTCAGACAGTAAAGCTGGACAATGTCCTTCTCTGACACTTCTGTCAAAACTGTGTCCCTCTGCAATGAATAGCACAGGTACTTTGTAAACATTCTCTGACAGGACCTCTGCTGCATTAGTTGGAAGCTCACTTGAGGTGCATATTTGGGTTTTAACAGTTAATAAATGCTTCCTAGTTAGTTATGGCTAATATACAAGTGTAAACACTTGGTCAAAGGCAGTCTGTTTTTAAGGTTATATTTAAGGTTATATGTGGTTCTCAAAGACAGAAGTGTTTCCAAATCTGTGTGGACTCTGTCCTTACTGTTAGCTGTTTAGAGGATGATTTCTAATTCTTACTAGCTCTTGCAGAAAGCTGTGAAGCTTTACAAACAGGAAATGCTCCTCTTGTGCTAGTAAGCAGCTTTTAGTGAACACTGAAAATTGCTATTGTGACTAATACTGCAACTCTTTGCAATTTATTTTATGGATTACACTGTGTTACCCACTTCCGCTGCATAGTGCAAGTGAGAACACTCAGCAAAGATTACTGTGTGCCTAGCACTGGCACAGACATAAATGCATCTCTGTCTAGAGTAGACAGTGTCTTAAAAACACAATTCATCCACATAGGGCAAAACTTTGCATCTAAATACATACCAGTTGCTGAAATATCTCTAATTCAGATGGTACTCAGGACCATTTCATAGCAATCTGCATCTGAGCAGTCTGTGGCCATCTGCTGTGTGCATCTTGCATGAGCAGTTTTTGGAACCTGGCTTCACTGAAAGTTTGTCTCTTAGGTAGTTTCCAAACTCATTGTTTCGTGATTTTAAAAATGCATACATATTATCTTCTGTCATATTACTTAGATATATAATTCTGTATTGCAGCAATACACAGCCCAAGCACAGGGCACTGAGTCTAGCTGAGGAAATGATGCACAAATAAATGATCATTTGACAGACTTCTTGCTGGCATTGTACTTAGCCCCAGAGCTGTGCTGATAGCATGTGCTGCTTTCCCCTTTGCTTGGTGCATACCCACTCTGCAGGAGGAGGACTTTGCTCTGCTTACTATGGGTTCATCATTTTGCTCTTTCCTGGGAGGAGGGCACAGGTAAAGTGTTCACATGTGACACCAGGAATAAAATAAACTCTGAACTAAGTCACTCCCACACATAATATTATGACCTTTATGGGTCTCATCCAACTTGAAATATTCCATAATTCTATGTGACTGCCCATTTCAGAATTTCAATGGGGCAGTGCAAATCAGAACAACTTTCTCTTCTTCCCGAACTGCACAAAAAAGTGGCACAAGTCAGAAAATATATGTAAAAGGTCAGAAGGAAGGTAGAAAGCTATCTCCTCCACCTGTTTAGAGCCAAGTCAGAGTGAATCAATGGAATAGAAGGAGGCAGAAACTTCATGTCATTAACTGCCACAAATGGTGGGGGTTTGTGGCTGGAAAGGTGACTGATACCAGGGTTGGGTCTGTGAACAGTGTGTGAGGTGTGCCTGCATGCCAGGCTCCTGATTTTCAGTGAAGTAGAAACAGAGTCTGCCCCAGTCCTCCTGGGCTTTTCAGGGACACCCTTCTGCTGCCAGCCATGGTTCACCTGTTTGTGCAGAGCTCAAACCATCCCTGCTTGTCAGCCTTGGTTAATGCCCACTGTAAGGAGATGGTCCCCACCGCCCACACCCTCCAGACACTGAAGTAACAGAAATAAAGCCTGTAGCTGTGTCTTTTCATGGGGAAGGCTCTGGAGGAAGCAGCAATTCCTGAATTCTCACATGCTAGGCTTTGATAAATATTGTCACTATTTCTGGATGTGAAAAATGGGATGTTTGCCCTGATTAGGGTTGGGGGAGGAAGATCTTTGTTCTTATTACTATTGCTTTTACTCATCAGGAAAAGCTGACAAATTCCAAGATATTTATCAAACTTTTTCATTTCAGCACAGGATTTCCAGGAAAAAAAAAAAAAAAAAAGAAAAGAAAAAAAGAAAAGGTAATTGTTTTGGAAAGTGAGTTTTCCTCCACAAAAGAAGAGGAAAAATGAGAGGTTGAATGAAGCTGTTTCTGGCTGTCTTTAGTTGTCACTGATGTGTTGCTTTGAGATGTTTCTGTGTTGGTTCAGATTGCTGTCCATCATCACTCAAGGAAATGCTTTTCATAGGGATTTTAATTGCTTGATAGTTTTGGTTTGATATTCTGGAAGTCTTTTCCTTTACAGCAATGAGAAGCCTGCGGCTGACAATCCTCTTGCATAAAACGCAATTGTTTCTTGTATTACCTCCAGGCACTTTACTTTCAGGACTATTAATGGGTAAAATATTGGTGGCAGTTTCCAGCTGCCACAAAACACTTTATTTTCCATCACCACAAAATATTTCACTGATTATCAGCCAACTGATACTCAACAAGCAATACATGTTTATCTGCTGAATTACAGCCCATTGAGCTGTTCAAGGGCATGACTGTGGTTAAACTCTGTCAATAAGTGTACAGTATGTGGTGATGAATAATTAATGTAATATTAGTACTGATCAGTAGCTCTGTTTGCTCTGTGACAAATTGGAAGGGAAGTGGTTGTATGTGGCTCATCACTTCCTCTTCAGCCTTGCAGTCATTCGGGTGTCAATGAATTCTGCTGGAAGTTAAACAGCTCCACTAAATGGGAAACTTGTCTTTGCTGTCTCACAGTTTATGGTCAGCAGCAATCCAGTAAGTTTAACTTAACTTTTTTATTGTGTATTTGGACAAAATCAACAAATACACCAATGCATAGAGTTCTCACTATCCAGCAATGAGCTGACCTTAATTTCTAGCCTTCTTCAAGGAATTCACTGGATTAAATATTGGAGTTACCAGCTGGATGCCAGAGAATGTGCATAGTTTCTGCACTGATAACAGCAGTGTTCTCCTGGTGTACCAGCACCCTGGTACCTGGCCACTCTCTGCTCTCCTGGGGAATCTACTAGGCATTTGTACTTTTCAGAAGAGAGCTAGGAAGGACTTGAAGAAACCTTTCACAGCTCCTTTTCTTCAGAGAAAGAGGTTTGATATTGTGTTCCCTGCTTACAAACACTTGACAAATACAATACTGTAATTAAGCTTCCTCCTTTTCCCAGTCTGTGATTTCTCCAGATTTGTATACTCAAATAAGTTTGTCTCCAATCAAAATGCATCTGAGGCACCTTTGTGTGATTTTCATTCCTCAGAGACTAAGAAATCCCAAATTCCATGTAAGAGTGATGTTCCTAGGTATGTTTTTATTCCTTCCTACTTGAAGAACGATACTAACTAGTTCTAGACATGGGTCAATTAGTTTTTTGGACTAAAATCACAGCTGCATTTCGGACAAAGCTGGAATGTATTTATTGGAAACAAA